GATCAGTTTGCCGGGGTCACAAACAGACAGGGAGAGAATAGAGAGTCATTAAAAGGAGAGGAAAGAACTTCACTTATTCAGGGAACACCTGAGGGAAGTTAATTATATGTGGAGGCTATATTTCTGAATATCATGGATAGAAGAATATCCATTTTTTTGTATAGCTTCTTTCATGTAAGTAATTTATATCAAAGAATAAACTCAGTCTCACTCTTCTTCACTTAAATACTGGTTTCTAAACAACAATCTGTGTACCAGTAATGGTCTGATAAGGTTTTTGCAGATTTGTGGTAACATAAGAAAAATTAAGGACAATGTAGTGAGTTTGTGATAAAATTAATTTCATTAAATGTGAAGTCCATCATTTTGAGATAATGCCCTTTACAATTTATTTTGGTGTTAAAATATCCTTTATTTTACAAAAGGATGTTTAAAGTAGTTAGCATTTGTTCTTTTATTAGCACATAATAAAAAGTTAGCAAATCATATAGTGGTCCCTATAAATTTTTGGTCTCTGACAAAAGTCTGGAAGCTACTGATCTGTTCTCTTAGTATGTTTTCATTGTGCAAAGAAAATAAGGCCAGGTGCGGTGGCTCACGCCTGTAATCCTAGCACTCTGGGAGGCCGAGGCGGGTGGATAGCTCAAGGTCAGGAGTTCAAGAAAAGCCTGAGCAAGAGCGAGACCCCATCTCTACCAAAAAATAAGAAATGATCTGGACAACTAAAAATATATATATAGAAAAAATTAGCTGGGCATGGTGGCACATGCTTGTAGTCCCAGCTACTTGGGAGGCTGAGGCAGAAGGATTGCTTGAGCCCAGGAGTTTGAGGTTGCTGTGAGCTAGGCTGACGCCACGGCACTCACTCTAGCCAGGGCAACAAAGCGAGACTCTGTCTAAAAAAAAAAAAAAAAATAATAGAGGCTGGGCACAGTGGTTCATGCTGGTAATCCTAACACTCTGGGAGGCTGAGGCTAGAGGATCTCTGAGAGGTCAGGAGTTCGAGACCAGCCTGAGCAAGACCGAGACCCCCGTCTCTACTAAAAATAGAAAAATTAGCTGGGCACAGTGGCATGTGCCTGTAGTCCCAGCTTCTTGGGAAGCTGAGGCAGGAGGATTGCTTGAACCCAGGAATTTTGAGGTTGTAAGGTTGTAGTGGGCTATGAGGATGCCACTGCACTCTAGCCAGGGCAAAAGAGTGAAACTCTACCTCGGAAAAAAAAAAAAAGAAAAGAAAAGAAAATAGAACTATACAGAACTGGAAGTAATGAGACTATACCTAGAGCTCTTAGGCTTAAGAGATATTTAATTGCAGCTCTTTAATTTTTAGGGAAAGAACACCGAAGAAAATCAAAATCTAAAATTCAACCAAGAGATTCTTTGACTTTAATACCTCCTATAACTAACTTCATGGGACTCTTCAAAGCAACAAAAAAGACCAAGGTTTCCCATAATATTTTTTCTTTTTCATCTGCAATTACATCGGATATCATAAATGTATCAAGACCAAGAATAGTGTCTTTGAATCAACTTGGGAAGCATGTACAGAAAGCCAACCCAGAACCTGCTGAAGGCTAATAAAAGCATTTTAGTCCTGAGCAATCTTTTAAAATTTTATTTTAATTATAGTAAAATATACATAACTGAGCAATCTTTTTGAATGGAAGGTCTTGATATTGATACTAAATAGATTTTCCTTTGTATATCTATTAGAATTTAATATCAGGTCAGAGTTATGGTTTCAAAAAAAAAGTAGGATTTCTGTAATACAATGTCTACACTTAAACTTACTAAAATTTATCAGCTGACATGTGTGGTATAACTAGTGTGTGTTTGTGTGTGTGTGTATCTCAAGAGTTAGAAACATTTTTAAGTTGGTAAGCTGAGCTAAAGTAGTCTGATTCAAAGTGGCCCACATGTTAACACTCACTGTAATACTTCAAGATATTTAATAATAAATATTACAGATGCACCAGGCTTCCAAAACCTGAACTGTGCATCCTTATTTAAAAATAAAATCTGAAATCATTGCCCATCAAAGTACATAAGTATGGCTAAAAGATGTGGCTACCAGTATTCATCCCTTTCTCTTTCCCTTTTCCCTTTCCTCATCTGTTTCCCCTTCCCTTCCCTCCTTCTTTCTTTCCTGCCTTCTTCTCTTTCTTTCTATTTATCTATTTATTATTTTAGAGATAGGGTCTTGCTATGTTGCCCAGGGTAATCTCAAACTCCAGCCTCAAGTGATCTCCTGCCTCAGCCTCCCAAGTGGCTGGGGTTACCAGGCCTGAGCCACTACACCTAGCCTTCCATATTCATAGAGAATGTCTTTGGTTCACAGCTGGACGGATAATATTCTTTGTGGCTTAGAATCATATGATTGATGTCTTTGCTCAAAGAACGCTGTTTCCAATATGTGCCAAGTTTTTGTGTATGTCTGCTTTTCCTAGTGTACAGCTGCAGAGAGATGTTATACAAAAGCAAGCTAGGTTTCTGTGTTCTTTAAAGCCCTGCTTTTTCTTCATCCACTTTGCTCAATTGCCTCCATACAGTCCGAAGGTCTTGCTATAATCCATTCTCTACCTGGACTGCAGTAAGCATTGAACATACATATTAATTAACAGTTATTCTTCCCAACATACCTTAACACAACAGTAATGACGGTGATGATGGTAACTACATGTTCTTAGGACTTTCTGTCAGTCCATAGCCTGTGTTCTTAACCACTGCAAAGTAAGAATTCTCTTTAACTTTCAAATTTAATTCTAAATTATCTTAATTCCTTTGAGTCACAACTTTCTGATGGATGGACTAAAATATAGAAAATACAAAGGGAAAATGGCATATTTTATACTAGGAAGGGACAAATAATTCAAATGATGAGAAATTATGTCACTTATTCAGTACCATTAAGGATGAGAATTCATATTAATGGAAATATTAATATTAAGCTTCTGAAAATGTAAAAACCCTCAAGATACAGAGGATTTCAACAATTTACCTGCCTCCTAGTGTATTTTAAGATAACTTTGGCACGTATGTTCACCAATTTAGAGTTCAATGTTCTCCCTTACTTTTCTTTTCCCTGTTTCTCTCTCTCTCCCTTCCCTTCCTTCTTTCCTTTTCCCTACCTTATGGTTAAATAAATACTGAAAGGCCTAGGTATGGAAGGCTTCTAGAACTTGCCCATTTTCTTTATCTGTAGGTTCCCTTATTTATATCATGAACTCAATTTTGACATGTGTGATTATAAAACCTGGAACGAGTTTTACACTTTGAAATTTTAAAAACTTAGATCATAGCTATCCCTATTTTATAATATTTGTAATAGTGGGGAAAATTTTGATAAATTTTCTTCCATAGTTTATATGTACTCTCATTATAAAAGCCACAGGAAATAATTACACTTCTCTGCGAATTCAGATTCACAGATACAGAATGCAAATCCAAATGTAAAATGTGAATTCACAATCTAATATTAATAGTTTCTTTTAAATGATATGTACTAACCAATTCTATCAAATCTATATAGCAATTTCACATTAAAAATGCAAAGCTGGCCAGGCATGGTGGCTCACGTCTGTAATCCTAGCATTCTGGGAGGACAAGGTAAGAGGATCACTTGAGCTCAGGAGTTAGAGACCAGCCTGAGCAAGAGTGAGACCCTGTCTCTACTAAAAATAGAAAAATTAGCCAGGCATCATGGTGCACACCTGTAGTCCCAGCTACTCAGGAGGCTGAGGCAGGAGGATCACTTGAGCCCTGGAGTTGGAGGTTGCAGTCAGCTATGATGATGCCACTACACTCTACTCAGGGTCATAGAACAAGACTGTCTCAAAAAAAATGCAAAGCTTTATAAATATTGACTATTTCCATATATTCCCTCATATACAATTCTATTTTCTATTTCTAGGATAAAATGGATGATCATAAAATAATACTCTACAATCCTAAAAAAGAATTACCTATGAAACTTCCCAAAAGGGAAATCACCTTAAGGTAGAATTAAAATAGGAAATGTTTCCCATTCTATATTTTTATTCTTAACCCCAAGTTTCTCAATAATGCAAGTCACTGATTATAAAGTTAACACCCTGGTCCAATATAGATGATGTAATATAAACCTTTACTGGTAAAATCTCTCAAGGATATTAAACAGTCAGTAGCATTGTCATTATATTCACAGGACAGTACATTCAGTTATTTTAATCTAGGCAGAAATAAAGTGATAAACTTATGATATCTGCAATATAAACTTTCAGATTAAAAAAAAATTTTCCAAAAAACTCCCTACTTTTTCATCTCATTTATGTTCATCTGATTAAATACAACTTATAATGTATGTGAATGTATGTGGTAAACTAAAGAGTACAATACATATTTGAGGGATTATTCATATCAAATTTTTTAAATCTCAGATGGACTTTAAAAAATATATAGACATCCCATTTATTCCAGAGAGGATACCTAATAACATAAATTTAAAAATGAATAACATATATTTTGTTATAGAAAGTCACCTTTTGTTTCAATTTGGAATTCTCTGGTTTGATACAACATTGATCTGGCTACCTTTCTAAAATTGCTCTCTCATTACAGAAGTCAGGCTCCTGTTTCATTAGGAGTCAAAAAATAGCTTCTCCTATCCTGATTTGAGAAAGAGGAGAAAGATCTAGGCCTGTAAGATATGGGGCCAGTATTCAGCAGAATAACTGTACTTCTTCCAAGGTTTTTCTTTCCAGCCGCCAGCATCAGTTCATCCTTTCCCCACAAAATATTTTACTTTGGTTTTTGATAATAAAAAAACTATGCTCCCTTGTAAGACTATAACATATTATAGTATCTCAGAATGCAGGTGGCAGGTTAAACATCAAACATAAGCAGAGGAATAACAAAAGACAGTCTTGATGAATAATTAGTACTATATATCTTCCACAATTTGATACACAAAAAATCAAAACTCAATTTTAACATTAATACTACCTTTAGGGATTTTTTTGAAAAGCAAAAATCATATCTTCATTTTTAATCGTGGTACTTTTATGGCAGCTTCTCCAACTTCTTTTGATATATCTACTCCAAGAGGACATCTGCATCACAATTGGACAAATCATATTATTTCAAATATTTGCTTCATTATCCGTCACTAGTTCCACAGACTATTTGCTTAGAATTCTGACAAACGGTGTAAATATCTAATCCATAATTTATCATATGTGGTGACAATTCTTAAATATATACAAATATAGTGGGACCTCAGGCCAGGATAATGAAAGCTAGTTTCATTAATAAGAAATCTAAATTTTGAGATGTTTTTGAAAGAAATAGTTCTACTGCTCTCAAATACTATAAATAAGTTTAAAACTTAAAATGAAATAAAAAATAACAAAAAAATGTCCTATAATTTTCTGTAAAGCTAAAAACATTCTTACCACACAGCTAAAGTCAAACCTGTGTCCATTCACATCTTAGAAATTTCCCAGGCTTCTATAGGTCTTCTTGAGGTTTCAAAAGCTAGCTTGTCCCTTTCCTACTTTCCTTCACCATTACTGGCCAGATAGATCATAGCTCCTACCTTCTTTTTCTGTTCCTCCTCAGTAAATAATTTTTGCTTCAGATTTCTGCTTTTCTACCTTATTGCCCAAGATAAGGCTTCGACTGAACTCTAACCTGGGAAAAGCTATCATTCAGCCTCAACACTGCCACAAGTTGGCACAACTGGATCAGATGATATATACTCTATTTGAAGCTAGGCTATCAACGGGATTCCTTCTGACATTACTGACTCAACTCTGTTCGTTCATGATCAGCATTAATAGTCTGTGGTTCATGTAGCAAAAGTGTGTAGTTACAGACTATAATGCTGACAAGTTTTAAAACATCCAGTGAAATAATGTTCAAAATAGAATTATGTTAGATTATGAAACACAATTGTCCTTTAGTATTCCAGAATTAATTTAGACCAGAACTTGATAGTAAATTGAAAAACTGTGCTATTCCGTGAAACTTTGATCTGGGAGAGGAAATAAGGCTTGCAGGAAACAGCTATCTTTTGGCCAATTCTCAGGGAGCATAATCACAACCCACTCTCACAGCTGAATGCTTTCTGCATGTTTTCCTTAAACTTCCCAGCATACCAGCTGGTCCTGGGATCTTCTTGACATTGCAAAAGTCCAGGCTGTAGACATGGTTTCTACTCTGGTCCCAGAGGATGGAATTCATCACCCCCTACCGGTAACCTCTTTCTAACTCACTTATGATTTGTCAAAATTAATTTGATACTGTAGCAAAAATATTTCTTACAAGGTATCAACCTCAGCTAGGTTCATGAAAGAAATTAATGTAACTTTCCTACAAGTATCACCACAATGTCAATGAAAACCTCATATATAAAAGCAAAATCCAGGTTTTGACTTTTATAATGTAACTTGCATAAAGATCATGAATGGTAACACGTACTTTGGTTCATAGCGGATGCCTTCTACGTTGTGTAAAATGCCCAAGCCAGCACGTAATCTTTCAATACCATTCCTAAATAAGAATCATTACAATAAAATCAATAGCTTCAAGATTTAAAGGAGGAAGAAGATTTAGTATGATAAAATGGCAATTAATATTTACACAATTATGAGTGAAACACATAAATCCTGTGGCTTACCATGCAATCATAATGCCATTATCAGTGCACAGTCTGGGAGGAGGACACAACAAAGTGCACTGTGTTGCGTTTGTTACAATTTCCAGAGCTTTGCGGATATATAAGTTACTTGCAACACCTCCAGATACAACCTGAAGGAATTGATAAGATCAAAGTCAACAACCATCACATGTGGATATGAACCAAGTTATTCACTGAATCTGGGGGAAAACATCAGCATTATACAATAATAAACTATCACATTTTGAGGTCAGTAATAGGCAAGTGATATATCTAATAAAAATTTAGAGAAGAAAAAATCACTAACAATTTTATTATCAACATACAATTACTACTAGCATTTTTGTATATTTTGTTCCAACCTTTTTTCTAAATATTTAATATAATTACAATCACAGTATTTTAGAAACTTTTTTTTCTTTTTTGTAGAGACGAGGTCTTGCTATGTTGCCCAGGATGGTCTCGAACTCCTGGCCTCGAGCAATCCTCCCACCTCAGTCTCCCAAAGTGCTGGGATTACAGGAGTGAGGCACCACACCTGGCCTAGAACCTGCAGTTTTTACTTACAAGTATTTGTTCATTTTACTACATAACTCTTTAAAAACTATTGTCTTTAATATTCATGTAAAATTCTATTTTGTGAATTATCATTTAAACATTTTCCCACTTAAAATTTTCAAAAGAATAAAGCTTAAGATACAGTTAAACAGGAAGTTTATCAAGGCCTTTAAGCACAATTAAAAGGATTTCATCAAAGGATGAAGGAAATCCACCTACTTTTCTAAAGATAGTAATAGTTATTACATTTGGTTTCTTTATTGTTAAACCCTCTATTAAATTCAACAAGAAGATGTGGTCTTGGACTTTTTTGCCACACAAGCTGTACAGATGTCCTATAAAGCTGCCACACCTGTATAAGAAATGGCTGTTAGTCTTTTCTATTCTGCATGATTTCATATTGTCATGGCTAGAATATGGCATAAAGACCTGTTCATCCTAAACACAAGGTCAGTTACTGTTTTAGGGGAAAATTAACATACTACAAAGTGTTACTATAAAATGAGATGATAAAACTTACCAGTACTGCATTACTTTGAGGTAACAAGTTTCTCTGCTTGCAAAACAGAATAGCTCGATGCGTTCTTTTTGCAAGGTGGCATGCTGTTGTGTGCTGTACTGCAGCAGCAATGTCTGCAGCTGAACATAGGATTTGCCCTTTCTCAATACCTGCAGAAATGAGCAGGCACTTTTAGGCACAATCCAGGAATATTTATCTGTCCAACTTTACTAATTAGAAATATACCTTCTTCTTTTTCCTTTTGCATTATTGTTTTATCAATAGCATGCTGAAGTCCAGAAAAAGAAAAATCACAATTTTTAGCACGTTGCATGGGAGGTTTGATATCAAAATGAAATCTATTTCCTTGCTTGGCCAAATGTTCTATAGCTTTCCCACCACTCATGGTAGAGCATTCTGGATGTCTTATTAAAGAAAGTCTTCTTGCTACCTATCAAAACCAAAAATATGTTTTAAAACAAGTTATAAAATTACACACTCTGAAACCATAAGATACAAAGGAAATAAATCGAAATATTACTAAAAAAACCACCCTGAATGAATAAAACATGCTATACTTTGACAAATATGGACTATAGCTGATACCAGTCAAGCAGACAACCCTGCTCCTTATGATGACCTGATCAATAGTGGCCAACGCTGCCCCCACATCTACTTTTGCTCTTCTATTGGGATTGGAAATAGGTTTGAAGTTGATGATGACTGCCTAATGATAAACTTCAAAAATAAGAATCCGCTCCATTCTTCCTTGCTATCATTTCACTATTGGAAGCTGTATATTTTTTTTAATATGGCAGTAGGCTCTGTAGTATTCAAAAAGGAATCTACTTGTCTGTGATGTCAGCAACTGTGCACTTTAATCATAGAACCTTGTGCATCTTTAATGTCCTTATGTTAATCTTAATACATCCTCTTAACTTACATTTTTGTAGTACATTACAGTTTACGAAGCATTTTCTTTCACATATATTGTTTGACTAAATACATAACTGCATTTGCCAACTATTTGAGCCTTTATATATTGATGTAAACCTCTTACTATTTATTATGAAAGGGTAAGAAAGAATTATAAAATTGTATACTACTCTTTTCATTTTTTCTAACCATAAATTTGTTCAGTCTAATAAGATATTCAGAAATATTAAGATGAATGGTAGTAGCACATCTATTGCTATTTAACTGAAACAGACATCATAATAAACAAACAATGGAGAAATTAATTCTTAAATTACCTTGTCAAGCATGTCACCTGGTGCTATGTCCAAAGACTTTCCAAGAAGCAGAAAATCTGAAACTCCTCGAACTAATGCCAATAGACAGTGACCTCCAGAAATCAAAAGAACTAAAAAAGGAAATTCTACGTTATTGGTCAACCTAATAGTAAGTGCATGAGCCTCCATATGATGTATGGGTATGAATGGCTTTTTTAACTGGTCTACCAGCTGTAAGCTAAATGTTAAGCCTACTCCTAGGCTTAAAGCAAGTCCTGGTTTTATGGTAGTTGCAATTGCTGAGAGTTCACTTGGAGAGATTCTACTGACAGAAAGAGCTTCTTGCACTATTCGTTGAATATTTTCTCTGTGAAGCTGTTGAGCGACTGGAGGAATAATCCCACCTGTTCTGAAAGAAGTAAAAAGACATCTTTTTATAATTTTAAGACTGTAAAAACAAAGTAAGAAAAATAACATGTTACAGCTGAAGACATTTTCAAATTAATCATTATATAGCTGAAAATAATTAAGTCAAGCATTTTCAAATCATGTGCCTTATAATATAGCACACTATAACTCAATATGCAGTGATTAAGCGGGTAATGTTTCTGACTTTTCAAATTCATGCACAACAAACTCCCATGGATTTGTTTGTTGACGAATGAAATCACCAAAATAATTTACAAAGTACTTTAAAGAAGTCTTGAAGAAGGGAAGGACGGGATAAAATTGTATTTTAGGAAAATTAATCTCCCTACAGACAGGGAGATTTTTAAAGAGATTATTGCAAAGGTATTTGTTTAAAGTGATTATAGCTTTAAGTGATTGTGGGAATGGAAAGAAGGGACAGAGGAGCCTTGAAAACTGTAGTAACTAATTAACTGGATATAAGGGGACAGGGGAACTAAAACATCAAAGATGATCCAGATATTCAGTTGGAATAATGGGGAGAAAAGAAAATACTAACAGAGAGCAACAAGAAGACACTTTTATAAAGAAGAGTTTATTTTTAAACACTGCACTTAAACTCACAGCAGGACAGTACATAGCTTGCAATCCTGAAATAAAGTTTGGGAATCTGGTGCTCAGAGTTGGTAATTTGGACTTTTGGTCCATGTAGGACAGTAGATGGACACTCCAAATGTAAAGAGTAAAGAATTAGGAGGCAAATTTGCTAGCATGTGACTAATACACGATCTGAAAAGCAGAGCAATATAGGATCTGCAAAATACACTGCTAGTCTCAAAAAGTCATCTTCGAATATTTGATGTTGCAAGATCTGCTAATTCTACACACAGAAATAAAAATCCTCAGTAGGTGCATTCAATGAATATTTGCTTAATAGTTAAAATACATTTTGTTTCAGGCAATGAGGGGATTATAAAAGAAACGATCTTATTTCAACACATCCATATTGTAATACAATTTTCCTTAATTCTTCAAAGCTACTTTTTCTCTTATATTCCTCATCTCTGTTAGTGGCTTCAAATAACCTCATAATCACTTGGGTTTCAAGGTTCATCTCTACATCCTTTTTCTCACTCTACATTTATCATCACTCCCATTGCCACTGTCAAGTTTAAAAAGTCCTCATTATCTCAGTCTATTCAATGATCTTCTAATTGTACTTCCCTAGCTACATCCTTTGATCCTTGCAGTCCATCCTATGTTGTGTTGCCAGAGAATACTCAAAAGCTTTGGTACCCAAACCCTGGACCATGGACCAGCACCGGTCCCTGGCCTGTTAGGAACCAGGCCACACAGCAGGAGGTGAGCGGCGGGCAGGCCAGTGAAGCTTCATTTGTATTTATAGCCACCCCCCATTGCTCACATAACCACATAAACTCTGCCTCCTGTAAGATCAGCAGCAGCATTAGATTCTCATAGGAGCGTGAACCCTACTGTAAACTGTGCATCCAAAGGATCTAGGTTGTGTGCTCCTCATGAGAATGTGATGCCTGATGATCTCAGGTGGAGCTGAGACGGTGATGCTAGCCCTGGGGAGTGGCTGCAAATGTAGATTACCAGTAGCAGAGAGGTTTGACTGCAGAGACCACAATAAATCAATTGCTTGCAGACTCATATCAAAACCCTATCAATGAGTGGCAAGTGACAATTAAGCTACAACAGGTGGCAGACTTTATAGTGGCAAGCGAGCATCTTCAGTTGTAAAGCTACATCTGGTGGCAGGCTTTATAGTGGCAAGTAAGTTGATGTACTTAGTTGTGCAGCTGCATCTGGTAGCAGGCTTTAATTAAATTAAATTTGTATCTTATCCATTTATTTATGTAACCTGCCTGGTGGTCCTCTGCAAACATCTGAGTTTATAATCCTCAGACCAGTCTATGCCTTAATACAACAGTGTTTTATTCTTTACTTGAGTATCAACACAAGTTATATGTATAAATGTGAATAGGATTTTTTCTCAGTGATTAACACAGTTTTCCTAGGACTTCAGTTGAGACTATTAAACATAAAAGTGGAGAAAAGAAGAAAAAGCATTACTGAAGGAAAATCATCAAGAAATATTGAAGCTGGGATAAGCTTAGTTTCTTTTTGGCAACAGGATTAGCTAAGGTTGGGATGTTATTGTGAAGAGCCTTAAAAGCCAGGATGAGGTGTTTGACATTTCCCGTAGCAGTTATTAGAAGCTTTTGCACAAAGGAATAAGAAATTAGCTCCTGAAAATTAACTTTTATATATGCTAAATACAGAGGAATTATTTCATTTTACTTTTTCCAAAAAAAGTAAAAACAACTAAGAGAATGTCTACTCACTTTAAATGAACTTCAGTTTGGGAATGCATGGCTTCTCCCAATACATTTCCGGTTTCATCCACCACAGCAGCTGCTGTATCATCGCAACTGGTTTCAATTCCCAATACTAGTTTATGAAGAAATAGTGTTCCAGGATAAATATTAAAACTTCTTAAAAATTCATAAACTTTCCTTTTTGGTGGTTTAGAAAAAACTCCTGCTGTCTTATTCAATATTAGCATACTTACTCTATAGATAATTTCTGGAAAAGAATTACAGAAACAAACATTATTTTGAACTGACTTTAGCCATTAACCCATTCAGTTGAGCAAAATTCTGAAAGCTTGGTTTATACTTCAATACACAGTTTTACAGAATTATAGAAAAGTTTGTAAAAGTTACCAAAATTTTGTAAAGGCTGTAGCAACGTGGGAACATACATAATAGTATAAATGAATATAATGCTCTTCAAGGGGGGAAACAGACATCAGACATACATTTTTTTAGTATTATTACTTTAATGCCATTCTCACAAAACTATTTATTATGATTTATAAAACAGCTAATATTACAGTACAATAGTTGCATGGACAGTCCTCTGAAAAGTGCTATTTATTTTTTGATAGCTAAAATTAAGACAAAATGTATTTTTAAAAAATCAAAGGCAAATGGAACAGATAAAAACATAGTTAATACATTACATTTCCTAAAAACATCTTTCAATATAAAATTTAATCATTTGGTTCAAAACCAAGAGTTCACATAGACGCCCCCTCCCTCCGTGGCAAAATAGTCCTCCATGAAACGGGCCGACCAGCGAAGTTTCCATCCGTATTTACAGCCGCTCCCCATCCCGGGCATCACTGCCTGAGTTCCGCCTCCCCGCACCCACCACCCCCTCCTCCGCGGAAAAATTGTCCTCCAGGAAACCAGTCCCTCGTGCCAAAAAGCTTGGGAACCGCTCGCTGCTCGAATCTATCCATTCTAAAACTCTCTGATGTTAACGCAGGTCCTTTCTCTACCACACTAATGGACATCAGGGGTTCAAAACAAGAGCAAATAACATTGGAATTGGGACAAAGCGAGTCCAGGGTAGAGATGAGCGACCCATTTACAGAGGGCAGCTGCGGGGCACACAGCTGCGGGGCAGCCTAGGCACACACACCCTAGAGAAATTAGATTTGCATTAACTAAAACTGAGCAAGGCAGACTGTGCTAAGCACGTCCCTTTCGGTCCAAGAAGGGGAAAGAGGTGAGCAATTTCACCCACCTTCCTCGCGAACGACAGTTAACTAGTACTCGTCTCCGTTCCCTAGCAAAGACGGACAAGTGCTCTTCCTCCAGCATTGGAAAGCCCGAACCTAGCACCCCGGAAGTGATGTCATCAGCACTGTGTCAAGTGCCCCTACTGCAGGGTCGGCTGCTATTAGCCCAGAGGGCGGCATTTTTAATAAAGAAAAGCTTAAAGGTGTCTTTGCTCCAGACGCAATGTGTGCGCTCATGCATTTCTCCCAGATTTGTAGGTTAACAAGACTTCTAACAAGGTCACGCAGCTAGTGACTCATCCAGCGGAGTCCGCTTACAGGTTTGACTACACAGATTTAAATTCCAAACACTACGCTACATTTAAAAAAAAGGCTTTTTGCCTTTGGCTAGAATTTGGTTGCCACTGTGAGAAAAAGATTTAAATTCCAAACACTACGCTACATTTAAAAAAAAGGTTTTTTGCCTTTGGCTAGAATTTGGTTGCCACTGCGAGAAAAGGATGGAGTAGATTATGCGTCATTCCATTTTATGGGAACTATCACCAAATCTAAAGATGTGGGCTGAGATACCTAACACTTTCATCAGAGAAATACGGTGGAAACTAGCGACGCCCTTAACAATCGGTACCAGGGTTCCCAAAGAACGGAAGTGCTTCCTGTCGGAGAGTCTAAACAGTTACTCCCGCTTCACTAAGAGTAAACTGGGGCTGGCTTATTTTCGCAATACAAAAAAAAAAGGAAGCCATGGTAAATATTCACTTACTTAAAAAAAAAATCCTACCTGTGCAACCTTCAGCATAGTATGTACCCTTACTCCTGCCCCTCCTCCAGTCTTTTTTTTTAATTTGCTTTTATTGGTTAACTGTCATTGTTTGAATAGATTTATCCAAGAATCTTTATTCTCATCTGCTAGGCTTTAAGGTTTTAGTAAGCAAGGTTGGACAGGACTGGGATACATAGCTATGCTTTGCATGGTGTGAAGCTCTGGATATAAAAGATGAGTAGATCACATGTTGGGAAGTACAGTCTAACGGTATATTCAGATAAATTCATAATTACCAGAATATTGAGAAGTTTTTTTAGTTGGAACTTAATGTTTTCCAAAAACTGCATTTATGTGTAACAATAATTTTCATTTCCATTTGTAACCTTCAGAAAATATGTAGAAATCTTATTTTCAATATTCGTTTCCTAATTATGTCCTATTAGATTTCATTTTCGTTTATCACAATTTATCAGGTTCTTTCCTATGCGCTAAGAACTTGTTATGGATAAAGAGATTAAGATCCATTCTCTGTCCTCAAGGATCTTAAGAGTCTACTGGCAGAAGACAATAGGCAGTACAGAATTATAGAAATAGAATGGAAACGGTGCACTGAGAGAGGGGAGTTGCTTGGGGAAGGCTGCGTGGCTTGTCACAGATGTATCTATAGTCTGGCAGGCCCATGGTGTGATTATTTGTTTCAACATTTGATTCTTTTATAGGCTTTGTTTATCAGGTCTAGAAGTGACTTGACTTCTGGGGTACTGAGTCACACACCACAAATTGCTAAAATGATGTGTAAAAACCATTAATACTAATGTATTAATTTATAAGAAATGCAACAGTGGGGGGGCTAGGATAGTTGAGTTTGCTGATCATTATCTTCTTTGTGTTGGTCAAATTACAGTGAAGGCCAAATCCAAATTATAATCAGAAGATTGCTTGGTAAATATGGAATAGAAGCAATAAAAATGAGTTTGGTGCTTTTACTTAATAGCTGATGTTTCAAGCCTGATGCTTCCCTTTCCACTTGAATGACACACACTTTTACATTTTTCATGGGTTGGAGTATGTTAAAAATACACTGCCATTTTTCCTTTCTCCTTTTAAATTTTCTTTGCTATGTCTTTTGATGTGGAACATTCTTTTATTAGTGTTAATACTGTCAATCAGGTCTTACCTTTGGAAGATGTTTTGCTTTTCGTTTGCTGAACCATTATGCTTAATTTAACTTTTAGATGACGTTTTCTTATTATGGTAGAACACAGATAACAAAATATGCCATTTTAACCATTTTAAAGTTAAAAGCACTAAGTACATTCACATTGCTGTGCAACTACCACTACCATCTAGCTCCAGAACTTTTTCATCTTCCCAAACTGAAAATTCTGTACCCATTAACAATAAACCCTCTTTCCTCCTCTGCCCTAGCCCCTGGCAACCACCATTCCACTGTCTTTATGAATTGATTACTCTAGTTACTTCGTGTAAGTGAGATCATGCGTTTGCCATTTTGTGACTGGCTTAATTCACATATCATAATGTCTTCAAGATTTATCCATGTTGTAATATGTACCTGAATATTCTTCCTTTTAAGGGCTGAATAATATTCTATTGTATGTATATACCACATTTTGTTTATCCATTCATCCCTCAGTGTATACTTGGGTTGCTTCCATCTTCTGGCTAATGTGAATAATATTGGTGTGAACATGGGTGTATAAATATCTGTCCAAGATCCTGCTTTCACTTCTTTTGGGTATATACCCAGAAATGGAATTGCTGGATCATGTAGTAAGTTTGATTTTTGAGGAATCTCTATACTCAGGCTCTCATTTCCTTATTTTTCAAGTGTGTGGGATATATCTGTGGGTTTAGCAGGGAAGGGAGGTGAATCTTTGTTGTTCCCATACACTTCCTATGACTGTTAAGTGCCATAATAGAAGCATATGGTTTGATGAGAATTCATAGGAGGGACAAATGTTTCAAAAGATCACCATATTTCCCTGGGCAATAGCCAATAAATCATCTGACTTCTCTGTTCCCATCTTAAAAATTATAAAATGAAGAAAATAATATGTGTTTATCTTCTTGATAATATGGTCAACATAAATACAGAATATGTGAAAAATTTGGAAGTTTTTCAAGATAGGATTGTGAAAAATTTATAACTGCCTAATTGGAAAATCATTAAAAATTTATATACTGTAAAATTCCTTTCAGATTTTGTATTTTGAAAATTCATTCTACAGTGTTGATGTGGTTTACTTCTTTACTACAATCCTCGTATTTGAATTTATTTTTATCAACATATACTTACATAATTAGACTGAAGAGACACAGTGATAAGCTTGGCTCATCTGCTAAACTTGAAATAATATAGAACTTTAGAGATATAGGTAACTCACTTCCATACTCATTTTTTATCAGGAGTTTGGATGAAATGAAATGAAATAAATTACACTACTATGCCAAACATAAAATCCAAATATATTCTATTTCTCTCATTATGAAATATTTCAGATTTAAAAGCATCAAGAATATAAACTTCTGTGAGCCCAACATCTGACTTATGAGCGAAAACATCACCCAATACAGTTGAAGCTCCCCGTGTCCCGTATTCTTAAGATATATACTGTTCTGAATTTAATGTTTATAATTCCTCTCCATTTGTAGCTAATGAAAAATTTTAAGCCACATATAACAAACTGCTAAATTATTTTTAACTGGAACTGAAATTAGGGAGTAAAATAAAAATGAAACATCTCATTTTTTTTCTTTTTGACACCAGACAAAATGAAGGAGCATTTCTCTCTGCCATTCTCCTACTCATCTTGTCTTTCCTTGCCCTACACTGTTCCAAACTTCCATGTAGGGTGTTTTGCCTATACCCGTCTTCCCAGTACTGAACCTATTCACATTTCCCACGTCAACATACTATCCATGTTACTATTTTGGGAATTACTCTTTTCTATCTATGCTTTTAGACTATTGAACTGCACTGGTCTATACTAGGTTACTGCATTTGTCTTCTTCATGACTAGCATGAGGGTATTTTTGGGTCACACTTACTGGCAACATATATTAATATACGAGACACAATATAGGAGAAACATTGCATGACAATCAGGATTTAACTTTAGCAAGACAAGATGAATCAATAGGCTAAGATCTAACAAGAAGGAGTTCTATAGGAAGAATAAGAAGCCTTAGACTTTGGTTTAATAAATCCATTTAATAAGTATATGAGCTGGTCATGGCATGCACCTGTAGTCCTAGCTACTTGGGAGGCTGAAGTGGGAGGATTGCTTGAGCCCAGGAGTTTGAGGCTGCACTGAGTTATGATCCAGCCACTGCACTCCAGCCTGGGTAACAGAGCAAGACCCTACTTCTCAAAATAAGAAAGAAAGAAAAAAAAAACAATATATACAGGGGAAGCCATAATTTAACAGCACTATATGTTGAAGACTTAAGGTTTTAGTGACCATAAAGTGAATCAGTGATATGTGGCTGTCAAAATAGCTAAAGTGATATTAGGGTACATTAAAAAAAAAAAAAAGGATCTCAAAACAGGGGAAATGGTACTGTTCTAGTCACAGCATCTTATCACCTCTTATATTTGGCTCTAGTGCTATATCATAAATAATTAACTGAAATTTAGAGCAGAATTACCAGGATAGTGGGAGAAATTTGAGACCATGTCACATGGAAGGGTGAAAGCTCTAGTAATGTTTACTCAATGCTGTTGATATCTTTAAATAGTTAAGAGATACACAGAATAAGGATTACATTTTGATTCAATATAAAACAAATTATAAATTCCATTACAAAAATGGAATATGCTATTTTATAAATTATAAGTCCTCTGCTGTCAGTATTAAAACAGAATTGAATGGAAGGGTGGTGGTTAATATAAAGATTCAAGCTCTGGTAGGGAGTTGAATTTACATGGTCCCTAAGGGCTTTTCTAATTCTTAGCATCATATAGCTCTATAAAGCTGATTCACACAGATATTTAAGGAAATGCTGTTAGCCCCATTAGGATCTTTATAGTTCAATAATACCATAAACATAAAAAACAAAAAAGGGATGGGGGCACATCAAAAGGACACAGGAGCCAACTTCGAAGAGCTAAAGGATAACCCAAAGAATAAAATATCCATGAGTCCATAATATTAAGTGATTGAATAAATAAATAGAAGGGAAAGGACAAATCTTCCTTACAGAAGATTGCAATTAATAAATGTACAAGAATGAAGGAAATCATCATTAGAACTACAAAACAGTAATTGCTGCAGGAAAGATCCACTAATGAATGCTAAAATTAGTGGCATTTTTTGAGCTCCTGACTACTTAGAAATTGTAATTACGTCTCTTGACTTGAAGTCAGCAACTATCATAGCATGACAATTGATTTTGTTCTAAATAATAGTCAGATTTTGTTTTGTTTTGTTTTTTTTCAGATTTTTTCAAAAACCCCACAGCATTTTTTTAAAACTGTACAAACCTGTGAAAATGACTACAGTTTCTACATTTAGCATAACCATTCACCTAGGTGGTAAGGCCAAAAAAACTAGGAGTCGTTTGCAAACTGCACCCCAAATCTCACCACTCCTCACCACTTTATCTGCAACTTCCCTAGTTTTGCTTCTTGCCTACAGTAGCTTCCCAATTTTCTTCCTGCTTTTTATTCCTTTACAGTTTATTCTCAACATTAGTTAGTGACCTTTAAAAAAAAAAAAGTTAGGTCCCTTTAATCTCCTGCATAAAAACTCTCCAATGGCTTTGTCACACTTAGAATAAAATCTGCTTGCTACATTGATCTATAAATCTCTTTATGATCTGGCCTCTATCTGCTTCTCGGACTTCATTTGCTACCATTCTCTTCCTCTTTTCTAGCCTCAGTGGCTGTGTTTTTCTTCCTCAAACATGCCTCATTCCTGCCCCAGAGCCTTAGTATCTGTCATTACCTCTACTGGAGATGCTCTTTCCCCAGATCTTTGTACTGCTTGCTCGTTCACATCAGCAAGGCCTGTGTTTAAATGTCACCTCAGATAGGATCTTCAGGGAAGACCTGTCTGAGGCAGGCTCCCCTGCTCACTCCCCTGCTTAATTTTTTTCCATTGCATTTATCACTACATAACAAGTATTTGTTTACTCATTTATTATTTGTCCTCCAACTAGAATGTAAGCACCTGAGGGGAGGGCGTTGGTTTGTCTTGTTTGGATATACCTAAAACAATACCTACAACAGTGCTGGCCTTCAAATATCTATTGAGTAATATTTTTAAAACACTGAAAGGAGAAAGAAGGGAAAATGAGCAAGAAAGCCTGTATCAGAGGAAGAATTCTATCTCTGGGGTATGTACAAAGAATGTAAGCCTTTTGAGATAATTAAACTTTAAAATGAAGAAAAACAAAGGAATATTTTTTGTTACCAAATTCAGTTGCTTAAGAATAAACTTGAAAAATGTCAATGTAATTTTGATGACTGAATTTGGAGAGCTTTTGAAATAATCTTACACCAAGGAAAAATTTTATTAAAGTATAGATTACTGGTTATTTAAAAATACATGAGAAAAGACAAACATATAAAGGCTGTCTCATACAACTGATTTCTAAACTCAATACTTTTGAAATACAAAACAATGATCATTACCCCCAAAAGTCAGTTTATTGACACAAACTGATTAAGTTGGTCTATAACTCTTTTCACTCAATTTTATGATACTGAATTTTTTAATTTCATTCCATATCAGAACTTTGTTTTTTTGACATGTTTACTTCTCGAAGTAGTATATAGTTATTTCTTACAATTAATATTAGCAACTATAGGAAGCTTTCCTAAGTCACAAGAATTCAGTATGGTTGGTGCTCTGGAAATAGTTACCATTTTGGGTTATCTACACTAAGACCCACGTATTTAAAGGCAAAATATCAATGGGCAAAATATGGGGGTTGAGAGCAGGCAGACTAAGAAAAGAGAATGTTATCTTTTACTGCAGACCTGCTAAAAAAGACTCCATTACTTACTTTGGTACTATTGCTAGAGAAACAGTTCCTGCCAGACCACAGGCTGGCTGTATAGTTGTCCGTTTTATATTTCCTTTTCTAAAAAATGACATATTTTATCAATTAAATTGTTCAACCAAATAAGCAAACACTTTAATTACCATATACTTTAACTGCTTGAAATAAATTATTTTCTTAATTGGCCTAGCAGCCTTGTGTCTGGAAAAGCAGTAAAACCCACTTTGTCCCCAAATTAGAATGCTGACTCAGAGGCTGCCTGTGAGACACCTGGCTATCTTCTATCACCAGTCACGAAGGTGGACCTTCATGAACTCCATAACATAATAAATATAAAAATGATCTTATCTATCAACACACAATATTGAGCCAGCAAAACAAAAAAAGTACACTCATAAGTAGGAACTAGCTTGCATAAAACAAGAGGGTGTATCTCCTCTTATGTAAAACAAGAAGAGTACGTATGGTAATAAAAACAATCTTTAATAAGCTTATAAAGAGATGATTCTGGTTTACATGTAAGTCTGCTTAAACTGACTGTCACTGAATGATTGGAAATTTCTTTTCCTAACGTAATGCCCATTCATTGTAAGTTAAGCTGGTCCTAGTTTCTTACAAATCTCTTATTTCCTTGTATTCATCTACTACACCCTCACTGTGTTGCCATTTACTTATAAGCTGGGCCCGCCCAGCCAGCTCATAAAGCCTCTCTTCAGAAATATACCAGATGCATTAAACAGAGGCATCTTTTAATGGAAATCTGCACCTTCATATGCTGCAAACAGCATATGAAGAACCCAACAGGCCCTCCAATGTAAATACCTCTCATTTCACATTATCACAGAAACAGTGCAGTTTACTAACTACTCCTTCCTTATAGGAAACTCAGTAGCTGTAAGAAAATTTTGTTCAGTTTCAAAACATTTCAATACTTATTAATTCCAAAGATCCGAACACCATGTAGTTGTGGCATTTTGGGAATTAGCACACTCAGGAGAGAAGCTGTGTTTAGGATGAAGTGAGTTGTATCATACTTCGTATAGAAACTTGCGAGAAAATATCTGCAGAGATAAAAGTTAAAAATACATAAAACATTCAAAAATAAAATTACTCAGAATTTTAAAAATTTAAAAGGTAGAAAAAAGGCCACTGAAACTTAAATACCTAAAAGTAAAACCATTTTTGAGCATTAAAGTAAAAGACATAGTTTCGCCTCAAGTTTATTTGATTTGGGATTTAAAAATTTGTTTAATGGAGATACACATGTAGCATTTCTGCAATTATATAAATACATTTAATAGAATGTATTGCTACTTGGCATCTTTTAAAGTAAAAGGCATTCAAACTAGGGTTCATATGCCCTCTGAAATTTCAGGTATAGTTTTGCATTTCCGTGCATGTTTCTGAAGAGGAGATCTGGATCCAAAGCATCCATCCATCTTATTCTCAAAGGGTTTTATAACCCACAAGTACTACTACAGTAAAGCTTTGAAAAATGGACTTTTAGTGTATTAGTACAATTCATATCTTTGAAAGAAACAAATGCTTGGTTGCCCTTTGAATGTTCACATTTTCATACTGTAGTTGAGCATGTCTAAAACCAGTTTCACTGGTAACTTGAAAGAGACTGTTCTAAAATTCCAGCTGTTTTGCCATAACTAAGTACATGTACGTATTCAGACACCAGCATCTGAGAATTTAACAAGCCTAAACCACCTTTAAAACCATAAATTACCGAGTCCAGAATGCCTAGTTTTACCCAAGGGTATACCAAAGTGCAGACATATCATCTGGTTACTCAAAGAATATCCTAATATAGACAAGATGTAAAGAAGAAAACATATCTTATTTGATCATAACTAAAAAATTAGTTTCCATATAGGTGTTTGTCTAACTTTTATAGTACACAAGAAAAGTATTCTTAGAGTCTTTCCTCGAACTACTGTCATTAGTTTCTCATAAGGAGATAAATATCTTGTATAATACGGTTAGAAAATAGCTACTTTCAAGTATGACTAAAAACATCATAGAGAATCATATATATAATTTTCAGAACAATCTAGATTGAGAAATTCTATAATCTTCCACCTATTTCACAAAACTATGGTCAGAAAATTCTTTCTGTGAGTAAGCCATATTCCTCAATCTTTACTTTAAATTCTTTCTTCCTGCTTTCATATACCTGAAGACTGTTTTTATACTTCCTTTAGTGAACAAAATAGGATATTACTTGCACTTAGTAGTAAGCTCATTTGATTTCCCATCATCATTACAGGTTTAATCTATAAACTGATAAATTGGAAATAATAATCTTAGAATGGGTTCTTAACTACATCATAACATATATCCCCTTTGTCTTTTAATGAAACTAATCGTGGCCGGGCGCAGTGGCTCACACCTGTAATCCTAGCTCTCTGGGAGGCCGAGGCAGGCGGATCGCTCAAGGTCAGGAGTTCAAGACCGGCCTGAGCAAGACCCCGTCTCTACTAAAATTAGAAAGAAATTAATCGGACAACTAAAAATATATATAAAAAAAAATTAGCCGGGCATGGTGGCACATGCCTGTAGTCCCAGCTAGTCGGGAGGCTGAGGCAGAAGGATCGCTTGAGCCCAGGAGTGTGAGGTTGCTGTGAGCGAGGCTGATGCCACGGCACTCTAGTCCGGGCAACAGAGTGAGACTCTGTCTCAAAAAAAAAAAAAAAAACCTAATCGTGTGTGTAGATTATATGAAAATTACTTAACTCTTTCAAAAACTTAGACAACCCTCCAATGGTATGCAAAACCCAAGTGGGAATCAGAGTGATAACATTTGTACATTTATTTGCCAATGGATATATTGGGAAGAGACCTGTATTAGAAGATAAAAGCTTAGGGTTTAATCTTGGCTCTTGACTCCAACTAGCTCCAAGATCTTGAGCAAAATAATGTATTTGAGTCTGTTTCTTTATCTAAAAATCTGGGATAACTTTCCATGTCACAGCTAACCTGACAAATGATGATTAAATAAGAAAATGTGAAAGTACTTTGAAACATATCAATGCTATACAGATGGCTTTAATGTTGTGTCTTCAGTTACATAAGGAATCTAATCAAAATATTTGAAATCACATCTGTTGGTCAAAAATATATTTTGAGAAATATGGCCTTATACACATACATCTTAGTTGACCTTTTTTGATGGCTCTTACTGAAAATTCAGAATGTCAGGCTTTTTGCATGTATTATATAATGCAATCCTCAACATTTTATAGATGAGAAAACTGAGGCTTTCAAGAAAATGGCCAAAAGTCACAGAACTTAAAAGTAGTTAAGCCAAAAACCAAACTTAGAGCCATCTGAATAGCCAATATTTTTGTTATCACATTTACTTTTGTTAGACTACATTTTTCTTTGAGGTTAATTTTATATGGGACTAACTCAATTCAAAATTTCTTCAAAGTGCTATAAATACAAGGAAAAAGAAGCCTATTACTTTATGATTAGTTTATTCCTTTCACTTGAAAATGCCTTCCTTTAGTTAAACATCTATCCAAAACCTACCGTCTCTTAAGTTCTAGCTTAAGGAATTCCAATACCTCCAAGAAGTCTTCTCTGCTACTAAAGGCTGTACTGATTCTATTACGGACAAGAAAATTATGTATGAGCTATGTGGTACAGAATGTTGATTTAACATGTACGTGAAATACATCTACTATGTGCAGGCCACTGTACTGCATGTGGAATTCAAAACAATCTATGCACTTATAAATTCTTTGGAGAAATAAAACAAAATATATATACCATTTTTATTTGTCAATTATACCTCAGTAAAGCTGGAAAAAAATAAAGGCGGAGACATTTCAGGTGGAAGCTATGATTTGAACAAAGGCATAGAAGTGGGACTACAAATGAAATATTCAAGAAATGCTGCTTAGAAGAGCTTAATCTGGTAGGAGTTAGGTGGGGATAAAATATTCACGTAAAGGGAAAATGAGGTAGGAACCATTTTCTGGAGGATCCTGAATATCAGGTAATAGGAGGAAATCAGATACCAGTTACAATGTTAGATGCTTTACAGATAGATATTATCTCATTTATTTCTTATAGCACCAGGATTGAACTAGGTATCATTAGCTAGAATTTTATATATGAGTTAACCAAGCTGGCTGAGTAACATATATAAGACTCAACTCATGTCTGTTCTATAATGAAAGCCTGACCTCTTTTTTTCAAAAGCATAGCTTCTCCCAAGGAGTTGAACATCTGAATAGGATTGGGGAGCCAATGAAATTCTTCTGATCATCTACACCATTATTTAGGGAGATTAATCTGATAGTGCAATACAGAATATGATTATGTTTAGTTTTCTTATAAGAAACTTAAGGACAGGAGCTGGAATATATCTGACCTGTACATCCTAGAATGTCTAGGCACACTAATGAGCATGAAATGTCATCTTCTTATATACTGACTGAAGTGAAAACTGATTTATTATCAAAGTGCCTGTACTTTATCTGAGGTAGCTATTTATTGATAAAAGTTTTCAACAAAATATTGTTTCTAATTCCAATTCAATCTGACAAAAGGACATCTTCCTTTTATCCAATCCTCCTCATACCTACAAATTTCTAACACTTACAGAATTATTGGAGAAATTGTGAAAAACTTCCGTGAAGATGTAAACTGTACTCCATAATCCAGTTGTTCCCAGTGAGTTAGGAGCCTTGCTTTACCCTGGTCTGGAGTTTCAAAAGGTGTTCCTTTCACTGCATGCAAAAATACATACATGCCCTGGAAAACAAGTAAGGGGATATATAATCAATATCAAATACAAAATTAGTCTTTGTCATTAAGCATTAAGGTAGTTCCAGGCTGTTTGTGACAGAGTGTGTGATTTAACAGCTCAAGTTTTAAGCTTTCATATAACAGTGAAAGGCTGTAGTCAGTTTTTTATGGCAATATAAAGCTTTCTGGGGTATATAAATATTTGGTGAAAATCAGTAAAAGGTCAACCATACGTAACCTGTTTTCATCTCTTTTCATTAAATTGAAAATAAACAAAAAGTATCATCAGGGTAACTTCACATCATTACATTTAGATTTTCTAATAACTTTTCCATTAGGAAAAAGGATTACCTTTTTCCCCAGTGTATAGGGAACTTTTCTCCAGAGTGTCATTGGTAAATCTGGTAATACTTACAAAATGATAAAGACATATAAACTGGTAACAAAATAATCAAACAAACAAAATCTATCAGGGAAAATGGTTTTGAAATATTTAATATTAGGATTGCCTTTGCCTCCATAGTTCTCTTCCACAGCGACAAGGACAGTCTGGTGTAATAGCTATAGTATTTGACTCAATTCACTTTTAAAATCACTGTGCCACAGTAGTGTTTCTTCTTAAGTCAGTTTTTAAAAATAAAAGTAAAAAACATTACTAAAAGCCATTCTGTCAGATGATATGTTTAAGTACCTAATTTTGTGGTTAGGTTAGGAAAAAAACAATATACACTAGATTTGGTTTCCCTGTGATTATGATGCCCATTTAGATTGATACGTAGTACTTCATTCATGATCACTGTTTGAGGTACTGGTAACAGCAGAAAGCCTAAATATTACCATGAAACAGTTTTTCCCTGTGGAAGCCACCATATAATGTCATTTTTTCTACCTCAACTTTTAATAAATATATAGAAAAATAGAACGATTAGTGATTTGAAATTTTCTGTTACACTTAGTTAAGAGAGCACTTCCTTTCAAAGCTTAGTCTACTTTCTAGTTATTATTAATAGGCAATTCAAAAGTTATTTAGCTGCAATAACATCTAAGCTATAAAGGAAAGGACTCATGTTCAGTTGGATTTAACTCACCAAACATTTAATAAGTGGATGATATGTATAGGACACAGGACATGCATACACATATGAAACTGAAAAACAGATGTACCTAGCCTTGAAAAAAATTCAATCCTCTAGGAGATGGTAAGAAGAAAAAAAAGATATGCATAAACAATTAGAAGGTAGGGCAGAAATTGCTATCAAAGGTATAATCAGAGTACTCAGCAAATGCAGAGGAGAGAAAGGTTCTTTGTTGCTGGGGCAAAAGCCTTGATACCACCCTGTCAATAACCTCACTCTTGAAGGTTCAGCTCAAATGACAATTCCTTAGTGAAATCCTCCTCAGTAGTAATTAGCCTCCTATATGGTTGCATAGAATTTTACTGAAAATACTATTATAGTGCAATATATTATGTTAGAGTTGTTTGCATGTTTGTTTTTCCATTAGCCTGAATACCTCAGGAATAACGGCTGGTACAGAGTAAGTACTAGGTATGTTGGAAGATGACATTAAACCAAGGAGTGTTTATTCTGTAAGCACCAGGAAACCATTTTCACATAGGCTTTAAAGGGAACTATGAAACAGAAAGTACATGTTTTCAAATGCTCAGGAGCATATGACCCCCCAAAAGTTAAGGACCTCTATTCTAGACCACATATGTGTTAGAATCTAAGAGAGGAAGAATCCTCTATTTCCTTCAAAGCACATGCACTTACTAGTGTTTAGAATATTCGATCAGTTTATTTTATATATCCTTTCCAGTGAAAAAGAATAAAATCTTATTTGACCAGGTCTTTTACTCCAATATTATTTGTTAAGTAGTCTCTATATAAAAATGTTAGTGATATAGAGATGATTATTGCCACAACAAAAGAATTAGGCAGACGGGATCCGGCGCGGTCAGGGCGGGGCGGCCGTAGACCACATCAAAAGAATTAGGAAAAGAAAGTATGTACCTCATGGGTAGTCCTTAATAAATATTTACTGAAGCAAAATGAAGAACATTCTCACTCATTTTTAAAGCTGGGCTAAGAATCTTGTGAAGCATTAATACCTGTAAGAGTGAACTATAGCAATGAATAAAAAAAAAAAAATCACTGTAGGTTTCTACTGTATGGTTCAAAAAGGCAAATATAGTATATTTGTCTAACGAGATAAAACAATTAGGTCTGTTTTCCCATACTGAAAAGCATTCAGTATGTATTTTACATTTTTAATTGGTTTAATGTAGGCTATCTTCAAAGGAAACAAATTTGGAGTCATATAATTGCTACATCTATGGCTGGTTAGTTAGGCTTTTAGTGTGGTGAACTAATGAATGAATCAAATAATAATAAATTCGAAGTTTGCTTTCCTGCATGGTGTCAATTACCTATCAATTTGTCCATGGTCATATACTGTGCCTCAGTCTCGGGTCAACCAACTTGAAAACGTGGGGGGTTGCAGAGCAGGGGATGGCTTCTAAAATACATTTAATACATGTGCCATTGGAGAAGGGAAAAGACTAATTTATTCGGCAGACTTTTTAATAGGTTTTTAGAGATACAGAAATTAAAAAATAGTAAGATAAATTGCTAATTATAAAACAATGATAAACACATGATGAAAGACTGTAGCATGGGAGTGTATAGATTCCTAAAGGAGGTGATACCTAAGTAGAGTTTTGTTGGTAGGAATCAGGCAAGTAGGAATCAGGCAGGCAGAGCAGGAAGGAGTGGGGGGTATTAAAATAATAGAAAAGCTTAAGCCAAAGTAAAAAGGTGAGTGCAAAATGATTTTCTTCATTGCTAGAGCATAGCCTGTGTTTAGAGATGGTTGAGATAAGATGGAGTCCCTTTATTGCCTCTGCACTGCTATCAACTGGTCTTATATGCTACACAAGAAACTTGGAATTTTACAATGAATGCAATGGATAATCATTGAAGGACTTAGCGCATGATTTGAGCAGACATGCATTTTCAAAATATCACTCTGCCAAGCTGAAATGGAGGAGTGTAGAGTAGAGGCGCATCAAGAAGACCATTTGATTTACTGGAATAATCCATGTGAGGAAAAAAATGAGGGTATGGGAACCAAGCTGATATTAAATCAGTAGAACAGACAGTGCTTTGACCAAATAGATATGGAGCATACAGGAAAAGAAGAAGTTATCCTAAGACTATGGTGACCGTACATATATTCTAGTTTTCATAGGACACTTCTGATTTACTCCTATTCTCTTTGAGTAATTATTACAGGAGCTCCCTTTTACTCTAAAAATAGTCTCAGTTTGGACTATACATTACTGGTTGAGTATCCCTTATCTGAAATGCTTAGGACCAGAAGTGTTTCAGATTTTGGATTTTTTCAGATTTTGGAATATCTGCATAGACATAATGAGATATTTTGGGGATAGGACCCAAGTCTAAACACAAAATTCATTTCTGTTTCATATACACCTTATAAACATAGCCTGATTGTAATTTTATACAATATTTTTAGTAATTTTGTGCGTGAAACAAAGTTTTGACTGCAACCTGTCACACGAGGTCAAGTGTAGAATTTTCCACTAGTGGCATCGTGTTGGTGCTCAAAAATTTCAAATTTTGGAGCATTTCTGATTTGGGGTTTTTAGATTAGGGATGATCAACCTGTACATTAATCACTTTATCACTGACATTCAGTTGTCTGGCTTGGCCTTTAGAAAAGATTAGGAATGAAGCCAGAGGAGCACATTGTGGGTGGTAAGGAATTGATCAGGAATAAGATGAGTTCCATTTATACTTGTTTGGTTTAAGGTACAAGGTAATCTTGTGCTATAAACGTGAGTACCTTTATTCTACAGGTAGAAACTGCAAATATGGGTAAATGAAGTGTCCCTAGGCAGAATATATAGCGTAAGTAGAGATCAAGAAAAGAACCTTGGGGACAGCAATATTTAATAGAGGAAAAGAGAAGGAAGACCTTGCAAGAGGAAAGAAAGATAAGAAATGTATCCAGGAGAAAATGATCCCATGGAAGCCAAAGGAAAACTTTCAGTAAAAGGGAGAGGCTTAGTGTCAAGTATTTCAGATAAGTCACTACTGAAAAACATACATTGTTTGCCCTTACAGAGTCTATCACATAAAATGGACTAAGTGGACATTTATTTATCATTTCCACTAGCACATCATCCTTTTCCTCAAGCCAACTTCAAATACACCCCAGAAGATATAAATATTAATTTTTAAAAATCTATTTCTCCTACATTTCTCTGTCTTAATGCTCTATGTTCTTTTTTTGTTATCTTTAAACAAATATAGTTACTATGGATTCAGTTAAAATTCTCAACCTTCATAGAGATGTGGCAAGGGACAAAAAAAAAAATTCTCAACTTATTGGATTTCTCCCTTTTTATTCTACTTTTAATATGCTATTAAAGACAAGAAAAAAATCACTATCAGGATTGTTGTATGTTTTGTTTTTGCAACAAGCAATTTCCAGGGCTGCATAATATGGTCTGTAGAGTCAATGGAACCGCTGATACTTTGTAAAGCTAATATAATATAGCTAATACAGGAAAGTGATAGTCAACCAGAAGCAGCTAAGGCACTACAAGATCCTGAATCACATAAGATATGATTAAGCTCAAAATTTCTATACTGAAATAGGAAAGTATACATACACAATTTAGAAAGATTTAACAAGGATTGAAACCAAAGATTTTCATTAGACTCTAGTTAACCAAAAAACAAAATTACTTCTGTAACTTTCTTGTAATTTTTACTAAAATGACCTAGTATTTTATAGATTCTATACAATGAGAGAAAAAAAAGTCTTACTTAGAAAAAAGGCCCAATGTTGAAATAAATTGTGACGGAAAACAGAAAATCATATCCAAGACTAAAATTCTTCAAAATAAGTCTTATATACCAAAACCACTGAACTATACACTTTAAATGGGTGAATTTTATAGTATGTGAATTACATTTCAATAAAGCTATTAAAACGAAGTCATTTTTTTTACATCATAAAACCTTAACATACTATATCATAAAATTTACCATTAGCCATTTTTAAATTTACAATTTAGTAGTATTGAGTACATTCACACTGTTGTGCAGTGTGCAGTGTTGTGCACTGATGGTTATCACCACTACCATCCATGTTCAGAACTTTTTTCATCTTGCAAAACTGAAATTCTGTAACAATCAAACAATAATTCCCCATTCCTTCCTTCCCTTCACTTCTGGCAACCACTAAGTCTTCAGCTTTTAAGTGTTTAGTATAAGGTGACATTCTTACCAGATTATGTATAATATTTGTTAAGGTCCAAGCAACAGGAACACTGAAGAAGGGAATGCTGAGTAAGACGATATGAAGCAAGCCAACTCCCAATGCATATGTCAGCCACATACCCCGGCTGTTCATTACACGGGTATTTGGATTCACTTCACTGTGGGCAACTCCAACATTCATGTTTGCTCTGTAGGGAAGTAATGAAATGAATCAACACTGATAAATTAACTTGCAAATCGAATACCCCTAATTTATGACATGACAAAGTAAGTGTTACGAGAATTATTTTTTTCCTAGTTACTCTGAAATAGAACACATACACCCACCAAAATATGCTACTTGCAGATGCTGATGAAGAATCCTCAACTTTTGACTTTATGGTGAGATAAAGACTTATTTTTACAGTTCTCTTTGAAAAGATAAATAGTTAAAAACCTTTTCCTAAAGCTTGTCTTCTAGCATGTTAGTTTTACTAAATGAAATAATGGACAGGAAAACTCAAAAACTGAAAGAGAAAAACCTGTATTTTCTTATATTATCAGAGCAAAGTGACAAGCCCGGAGCTAAGTTTACCAAAAGAATCATCTAATATTAAAAAGAAAAAGCAGAACTGACCCAGCCAGTCAGTTGAGTAGCCAGACTCTTTAAGGTAATGTAGCCACAGAGTGGTCAGAGTTCAAATTACTTCTTTTTGAATACTGACGCTGGGAGGAACATGCCATTGACATAATCTGGTGTAAAATTTACATGGTCAAGGGATAATGCTTCTCAATTTTGTGATACAACTAGATTAAAGCAATGAGTCTTCCGAATATTTCTCTAGTTAACTCCCTTAAAACTTTAGTTTTCTTTCTTTCTTTTAAAAAAGTTTTTCCCTTCCCCTTTTACATTCAAGATGAACACCAAAGGAAAAACTGATAATAGTTCCCAGTTATTTTAATGATGATGTTTACTTGGGTCTAAGTATCTCTTAAAAATAAAACTGTGTTAAAGAATACCTATCATCCCGGGGGAGGAGAGAAACGGGGATAGATTATATTTGGAACAGCTCTGATTTAAAACATATTAACTTGTTCCATTACAGAGTTAGCACAGAGAGAGTAATTTCTCACAATCCCATCCGCGTGGGGTTTCCGCGTATAATGTCCTCTTCACCATCTAAAGATCTCTGAAACAGGAATAAAGCCTTACGGTGATGAAAGATGAATCAAAAGTCTCAAATTTACATGTATGAATATTTCTTGTACTGTAAACATCCATCGTTTATCATATATTATTTTTAACTGTTACAAGTTATACCTAGACCATGCCACCACTTAAGATAGTTTTCCCACTTTCCACGAGATGGAAAAAAAACGATCGCAAGAGGCCTAAAATTTACATCTCAGCTGGAAGGCAAAGCTGGTGTGGTACAGGTCCTACTCCAACCAGAAAAACCTTTCCCTGACAGGTTTGCCGCGCCGCTTGTGGCAAATAGTGACTCCATAGACAGTGAAGACGCTCTCGGATCTGCCCTCGCCGGTGCCTGTGTAGACCGCGGCTCGCAGCGGCCCCTTGGGATAGCCTCCCCCAGCAGCCTGAGCTCCGCGCCAGTGGAAACTCAGCAAAAACCGCTGCTGCTACCGCCGCAGCGCCTCCCCCACCCTCCCGTTTCTTCTAGCAGCTGCAAAGCCCGTCAAGGCCGTCGCACCGCAACGAGGACTTGGGGGGCGAGCCTCTGAGGCCACTCGCCCCGCATAGACAGGGCGCTGCCGATGCAGCCCGAGCCCACTATGTCCCCTCAGAACGACCCTGGCGCGCCAGCAGCTCCCTACTGACAAAGGCAGCAGTACAACCCCTCCGTATCCGTGCCCTCCGCGTTTGTCCCCACTTACCCGCCGCCCCACTCCCGGCAGCCGGCACGGAGCAGGACCAACCCGGCGGCTACTGCAGTGTATCCCCACGCCCCGAATGACAATGGTCCGCCCCAGCGCTACGCAGCTTGCGGAAGCTTTCAGAGGCAAACTTGCTGCCAGGGGATTGGCTGCGAGCAGCGCCAATCCCACGTTCCTCCCGGGCAAGGCGGGAGTAAGTGCGGCGCTCCAGGTGCCCGCTCTGCCGTGCGCGCGCGCGCTGGGGCCAGTGGGGAGATCCGTGAAGCCGGGCCTGGGCTGCTGGGTGGTCGTCGCTAGTGGATGGTCATTGCCTGCCTCGCGCGAGCAAGAAGGTAGTGTCGTGTGGCTAACGGGCTTTTATTCTTATATTCTCGAAGGCTCGGGGACTCCCCTAAATTCGCCCGGGTCCGAGCACGAGCGCCGAGGGCGCCTCCCCACAGGGGTAGGAAGCAAACGGAGCGGGTTGCGGGCGCGCTCACGTGGACAGCGTTCTCGGAGCAAGTCAGGGCTTCTTAGTGGTCCCGTGTGACCTTTGTTGCAGCCCGTTCCTTAGACCCTTCTGGGTGAAGGACTTCAAATTTGTTTTCCAGGCAGAAAATTTAACCCATGACAACTGTAACTCTTCTTGCGAATGTGGCGTTTTATAATATGGTATATTGTGGCATCACACAAAGGGTGCAAGTAAACTCTTCTAAGTCAATCACGATTTTTGCTAGTGTCATTCTGGGTTTATCCATACGGGGAAGACAGGCATCTGTATTACATTCCGAGGAAATGTGGATTCCATAAATCTTATTTGAGGACGGAGAAGAATAGTCTTGATTAGATTTTTTGGAATAGTCTTTGAAATTTCTTTTACCTTGGCAGTGCGCAAAATTTATGATTTTTATTGCTGAAATAACTTTCAACAACGTTTTGAAACAGATTTAAGGGGATGTTTCGTATACGTCTGTATATATCTTACATTTCTCTTCTATGAAAGCAATTGATTTAATTTATTCTTTAAATAAATTATTTTTTTGTGTGTTCTCCCTAAAGTTTGCGAGTTCTCTGATTTCTACTTCTTTTTTTAGGTGCACCTGTTGTCCTTAACTGACTTTCCTGGTCATCAGCAGTCTTTCAGAAGTGTTCCATTTCCCTCTCAGCAAAAATGGAAGACTGGCTATCCTGACTTTCTCAGACATTCTGTGCTGTGACTTGTAAGCCTGATATCAACCCTTCACTTTTCAAAAGAGGTCATTTGGTATATGTATAATAGAATGCTATATTCCAGGGTTTATGTTATGGATATGTGATTAATATAAAACCCCTGTCCTCAAAGAGCTCTGATGGAGGAGGAAGGGACAGACAAACAAATAGAATAACCTGTGATGAGTTTTGAATTAGAAATAAGGAAAACGTGCTATGGGAATTAGGGATGCCTAATCTGTTGAGCGGTGAAGGGAAGGAGTTTGGAGCAGGGAAGAAAGGTTTCCTTGAGGAGGTGGTGTTAGGTTGTTAGAAGTCAGCCTAGAGAGAGGGAACCTTGTGAGCTAAGGGAGGAGTGAGTACCACCACATTAAGAGAGATAAATTGTATAGTATGACTGGCCTAGTGCACATTTGGGGAATGATGGGATGAGATTAGAAAGGCAGGCAGAAATCCAGTTGTCAGGGAGTTAGGACTTAATCTGGTTAGCGGTTGGAATCCTTTACAAAAATTTTGAGTAGGGTAGCAACATTATGAAATTTAAATTATAGAAAGAGCCCTATAAGTGGTTGAGGTTGAAGTTAAAATATCAATTAGGTAGTTAATTGCAGTAGTTCAGAGGAGAAAGGTTAAGGGGCTGAACAGAGGCAGTACAAAGAGGAGAGGACTAGTTTGGGAAATATGTAGGTAATAAGATAGATAGGACTGGGTGGCAGGATGAGTGAGGAAAATTTCTAGGATGACTTCAGGGTTTCTAATTTTGCTTTGTGTGCTTGGATGGAAAGTGTTCAAGGGCATGGCCTTTGGAATCAAACATGCCAGGGTGTGCATCTGCCACTTAATAGTTTTATGATCTTGAGCAAGTTCTCATGCCTTTAAATTCCATTTGTGATAGAGAAATGATAGTATACGTAGGTTTGTTGTGAGGATTAAATGGGATGATGTATATAAAGTTCTTATGTTAGCTGTTACTTACATTATCAAACAAATATAGGAAAAAAGCTAATTATTACTTAAGCAGAATGTGCATGTCCAAAAAAGAAAGTTAATTAGAAAAAGATTCTGAAATCAGTTTGGGACATGTTAAGTTTAAGTTGTCTTCAGTCATCTAAATGATGATATTTAGAAGATAGGCGGAAATAGGCCCTGGAGTCCAGTAAAAGTTATGAGATACAGGTGAGCTAGAAGATAAAATGGAGGCCAGTTACAATTGAGTACATAAAGGAAAGGAGTTAAGGCAATGGCGACTTGCCGGGAAGGAGGACACTTTTTCTAAAGAAAGTTTACAATGACACGAGAAAGGTGCTGATAAAATTATTTTTAGTGGCCCTTCATTAATATTAACGAAATGCTTCTACCTTAGTTTGAGAATTCTAATAATCTAAGAAAAACACTGATCAACAAAACTTTGGGGTGTATTAACCCAGCCTCATCTCAGCCTTCTGGGCAGTCTTCCTAATCTCATCACCTTTGTCTCATTCCTCATTCCCTACAATGCCTCTTCCAGAATCTCTTTTTTCAGATCTTTAATTTCATCCCGATATTTCTTCACCTTCTAGTTTACTGAGATCATGGCAATTCATTGCATAAACTCTGTCATACCTTACAGACCCCACCCCACAGTGTCTTCTGATTTCCTAAAATGTCTGCATCCCTACCCATACTCTTTTTCCTTCAGTGTCATATCATGTTTCTTCTCTCTTAACTAACTGCTGTGGTCTGAATGTTTGTGTCCCCCAAATTCACAGCTGTATGGTATCATTATTATCCCCATTTTGTAGATTAGGTGATGTTTAGAGAGTTTAATTTCTTCCATGTTACATAGCTATTAGTGTAACATCTAGTGTAAAACCGAAGTAGTGTGATCTCAGAGCCTGCCCTTTTAACCACTACTCTATCCAGCACTGTCCAATAGAACTGTAACGTAAGCCACATATATAATTTTAAATTTTCTAGTAGTCATATTGAAAAAGGTAAAAAAAAAAAAATTAATTTTAATAATGCATTTTATGTTCCCTAATATATCCCAAATATTACCTATCATTTTAGCCTATAATCAATATAAAAAATTAATAAGATTTTATATGTTTTAATGCTGAGTTTGAAATCCAGTGTGTATTAGCACATCTCAGTTTGGACTACCCACATTTCAAGTGCTCAGTAGCTACACGTGGCTAGTGGCTACCATATTGGACAGTGGAGAGCTGTACCCTTAGGCACAGGTGGGGAACCTTTTTGTGTTGTAAGGCTGCATTAATTTAGCCGTAATCAAATAAGGCCGAATTCAAGGAACTTCAATTAGATATTCTTAAAAATGTACATTATTTTGTAAAAATGTAAGTACTATGTACTTAATAATTTCAAAAAATGAAAACTATTTGCTAATTTTAAAGTTAATTAACCTTTTAATGACTTTATTGTATGTACTTTTTGTTGGAAATCATTTGAATATTTGATTGCAGCATGGAGGTTTGCAGTTTCAGGTGATCCTCTAGATGAATGATCTTAAGGGCATCTTGATTTGGGTTAGGTAGGAGAATGTAGGCAGTAGTATGTGGTTGAAAATCAAAGCATTTTTCTAGGTTTCAATTGTGTCTGTCTTAGCATCAAACAATGACTTTAGAATGTCATCTATTGAGAGCTCAATCAATCCCATCTGTAGCTCTTTAGGTGCCTTGATATCAATTAGGTGAGGCTGAAATGCTAATTTGAGTGTGATGTCATGATTCTCAGTGAACCTTTCACTGTATTTTCAAATTAATAGGTCTATAACAGCTGTGTATTCTTCAGATGATTCACATATATCATCCTGCTCATCAACGACATTTGCTAATGGGGGAAAATGTTCATCTGAAATTTCCTTTTGAGGAAGTGTTTTGAGAAAAGATAGGTTTTTTCAAAATGCTTGGACTTTTTGCCACATATCGTATATAGACTTAGTTTTACCTTGCAAAGAAATATTCAAGTCATTTTGATTTGACATATCACACAGAAATACCGCATTCCTGTAGAAATCTTCTTTCAATAATTCACATTGCTGATTCTGTTCTTCATAAAATTTAACTATCTGTTCTCATAGAGATAAAATTTGGGCTAGCACCTGTCCCTGCAATAGCCAAAGCACTTTTAGAATGATATAGCAAATCCATACTGAACACCTCATCATTCAACTTTAGGGTGTTATGAAAGTGAGGATGCCCTGTTGCATTTGCACAAATATAGTTAACAATACTTACAACTTGTTGCAAAGTGTCACTTAAAATAGTAGCTCTAGCACAGAGATTTTGCTGATACTAGGTACAACGAAAAGAAATGAGATCTGTTCATACTTTTTTTTTAAATCTGTGCAATAAACCCTTCATGTTTTCCTATCATGGAAGTTGTACCATCTGTACATACACTCACTAAATTTACCAAATTCTGTACAATTTCATGACATTTATCTTGAAAATTCTCAAAGATACATGTTCACAAGAGTGCCCAAAGTAACTCTTTGTAGCAAAGAGAAACTTCTCTTATGACCCAAATGAAGTATAAAAACTGCACTGAGTCAGTAGTATCAGTTGACTCATCCAAAGCAATTGAATGGTATATATTTTCCTTTCAAAGTATTGCATGAAGTTGTGTCAAGTTGATGGCTAATTCATGCTGCTGATCGGTTATGTTCTCCCTGAAAGAGGCAGTTGCTTCAGTGGCGTTATTCCCAGGTCTTATTGCTGCTTTTTTGCTTTTCATCTTTTAATTTCTGCAATACAACCTTTCATGCCTCTCCGTCTAATTTAAAATATTTGTGATCCTTATGAGTGTTGTAATGCTGATGAGCATTGAATTTCTTTAATGTTGATATTGCAGTATCACAAAAGAAGCAGATCATCTTATCTTTATAGAAAGAAGATAATATTGCAATTCCCAATCCTCATTGAATAATCTGTTTTCTTCCTTTAGCATTTTCCGGGTCTTCTTTGACTTGATGGCTGTTAGACAGAATTAAAAAATACTGTTGAGCTGTGCAGCTATTCATAAATTCCACTTCAGATAGAAACACAGTGCACAGTTGTCAAAAACTGATAACAGACTGATGTACTTGACCCCCATAAACTCTGACCAACCAGCCTCGTGTGGCAGTTGTGCCAATCAGGTGGGGGAAGTTATAACTAAATCATGAGTGTAGCAGCTGCCAATTTCCAATTGTGCCAGTCAATCTGGGAGGATTACTTTGTTGAAACTTATTTTATTCTTTGGTATTTTTAAATGCATTCATTGTAAAAATATAAAAGACAAGCAAAAATGTATTAATAAAAATAAATGAATTTTGTAAAATTTGGATTCAGTCAAAAGGCCACACTTAAGGACCTAGGAGGCCACATGTGGCCTTAAGGCCGCAGGTTCCCCAGGCCTGCCCTTAGGTCTGAAGTCATTTTGAAGCTTCAGAAGATTGTGAAAGGTACCTTTTGCTTGTGACAGCACTAATTTGTGCGAATGTTACGACCGTGGAACAGCATTAGCTGACTGGGAGTAGGAAAGTCTGCCAGCCCTTGAGAGGCACAAAAGCCATTGAAAGGTAGTTGTTAACAGTTACTCAAAACTGGGTACCCCCAAACTAAATCAAAGATAGAGATTAATTAGAGGGTAATCGTTAGTATTAAAAAAGAATTCCCAGCATTCTTTTACATAATGATCTATTATCATGGTACTGTGCATTTTATAAAGTTTTACCATTTATAGAGCATTTTGCATATACTTTCTTATTTGATCCTTACAGTAAACCAGTGAGATATTAGCTCCATTTTTACAGATGAGTTGATTTTACAGAGGAATTTGAGTGATTTACTTCATTTTATGTGTAATGAAGATGAACTCCAAGACCTGTTTTGTAGACTCTGATCTGTTATGTTTTTTCACTGTGCCAATCAGCTTTGCCTTATGTATAGCAAAATATAGTTAGGCTGTATTTATGAATTGTGACTAGTAACACCCTCAGAATGCAATATGTTGATCTCAGAAATGCATTCCTTAAAATCCTATGTAATTGTTACAGTGCCAATACTCCATTTCCTACTCAATTACTGAATCTTAGTTTACGTGACTTTGTCTTACGTTGCTTGAGAAAGAATCCTAATCTGACACCTTTTGGTTTCGTTTGTTTTGGGCATTGCTATTTTGTTTGGACCTAGATTCCATAGGATTGAGTCATCATGTGACCATATAACTAGTCATGACAAATAAAGGAAATGCGTAGGGTTCTCCCTGCGCCCATTTCTTTGTCCAAGAAAATCTTGACTCTAGGGAAGAATTGCATGTTGTGAAGCTAGTGTTTGTTTTCTGGTAATCCCTTCTGAAGTTAGGCTTTAAGGCAGATGCAGGCGCACTCCTTGCATGTTTTGCATATGGAATTTCCAGTTGAGGTTGGTTTGTTTGTTTATACAAAAGTTTCCAGCCTTAAAACAATTATTTGCTCTTGGAGATTTTAGATCTACAGATGGGATCTAGCACATAAAGGACCTTGGATGCCAGTTTAGAGATTTGAGCTTTATCTGTTGGCTTTGGGGAGCCACATGATTACAGCGATGTTTTAGGCAGAATAATGTGGAGGATAGTTACCTGGCATGTCTGGTATCTGGCTCGTTCAGATTAACAGTAATTCTAGGGTCTAGATATCCTAACTCCAAAAGACCTCAGTGATTGAAAAAGACATTATAACTCATCAAAACATATAGATGACTAATGATGTTTAAATGAGACTGTCATTATCTATATCCCAAGGTGATAACACCACCTGGCCATTCCCCGCCGAACAGATCATACATTACACTCATTATAGCACAACTGTTCTTATCATTCTTCAGTTATTACCGTAGTGTAATTCACCAACTGAATGTTTTTAAGAAATCTTTTTACAACATGCTTGTTTCAGTGATTCCAGTGTGCATGCTTTCAGTGGTCTACTATGATGAGTTTGGACGAAGACATAGTTGGCACAGACATTTAAGGAAATACAAATGAGATAAAAATCTCTATACTAATGAGAAGTACCTAGGCCCAGTTACTTCATCACTCAGTTTTTTTTTTAACCTTTTAAGTGATATAATAATTATAAATTACAATTTTTATACATAGTACCTACTTTTTTTTTTGTTTTTGAAACAGGGTCTTTCTCTGTTGCCTGGGCTATAGTACAGTGACATCATCTTAGCTCAGTATAGCCTCTAACTCCTGGGCTCGAGTAATCCTCCTGCCTCAGCCTCTGGAGTAGCTGGGAATGCAGGTGTGCACCATCACGCCTAGCTAATTTTTTAATTTTTTGTAGAGATAGGGTCTTGATATTTTCCAGGCTGGTCTTAAATTCCTAGGTTCAAGTGATACTCCTGCCTCAGCATCCCAAAGTGCTAGGATTACAGGTGTGAGCCATGGTGCCCAGCCCATAGTACCTACTTTTTATGGATTCAAGGTTTAAATGCAATCTCACATATAAGGTGCTTAGCACAGTGTCTAGCATACTATATATTTAATAAATGTTCTTTTTGTTGTAATTATCATCATTTTAATTAGTGGGTGGTATAGACAGGGTGACCAAGGGGCAAGAATCATGGAGGCTGATTAGGAAATGATATTGTATAATGCTGAGAGCTTGAACTGTTAATGAGGGGGAGGATAAAAAGGAAAAACTAAATGTGAGAGATACTGAGAAAAGAATTGATGGGATTTAGGAGTTGATAAGATTTGGGTCAGGGTGAATGGCTTATTGTGATAGTAATGTCATGGGGCTGGGGGAGCTGACTGTTACACCTTGAGTTAGAGCTAGCAATTTCAGCAGGCAGTTGAAAATACAGGGTTGGAGTTTTAGAGAAAACTCAGAATTGTAGTTATCAGTTAAAGCCTAAAAAAAACTCTGAGAGAAATTAGAAAAAAAGTTTGTAAGCTCTGGTTTTGATTCAAAAAAAAATGAAAAAAAAAATAGAAAACAATTTTTTCCTTCTTTTGTTGTTATGGATTTTTGTTAACTCAGTTTTGGTTATTTTTATTTGTAAGAGATAATTAGATTACACATCAACAGAGGAAAGATTGAATGACTTGTCTATATTTAAGTCTTAGGTCTGCCTCTTAATAACTGGATGACCTTGGACAAGTTTCCTAACTTCTCTGTGCCTCAGTAGTCTTATAAAATGAAGGTTAAAATGGCACCTATTCCAAAGGGTATTGCTAAGATATAAATGATTAGATACTATATTCACTAACAGTAGAGTCTGGCATATAGTAAGGCTTAACGAATGTGAGTTATTATTACGTTGTCATTATTGCTGTTGGTTCTGTTAGTCAGGAATGTTTGTTTAACAATTCTTATTTTTACAACTTGTATTTTTATCTTCTAGCTACTCTGCTAACAGCTAAAATGAAACAGTTGCCTGCAGCAACAGTCCGCCTCCTTTCAAGTTCTCAGATCATCACTTCAGTGGTCAGTGTTGTAAAAGAGCTCATTGAAAACTCCTTGGATGCTGGTGCCACAAGCATAGATGTTAAACTTGTGAGTGTCCTTGAGAAGCCAAATATTTTCAAAGCAAAAAGGATTGGACAGATGTTTTCTCCTTAAACCTTTGTTTTTTTCTGTGTACCAGCAAATTATTCTTAGGACATTGGACTGTTTACTTGTCTTAAGGGTAAATTGTTAAAAATAAATTTTAATTTAAATCAACATTATAGTAAAACTAAAAATGATGAAAGAAAACATGTTCTTTAGGACTTTGTCACCTGAAACGTCAATTTAAAGTCTGTATGTACTCCAAATAGTTATCCTTGGTTATTCATATTTACTTGTTTTAAATATTCCCCTTTGTATTTTATTTTTTCCACTTAAACATATTTCTAAACCATTTCCCTGTTACTTAATAGTGTCCACATATTTAAATTTTAGTGTTTTGTACAAAATCTTTTTTTTTCCCCCAAGAGGTGTGGGTCTCATGCTGTCACCCAGGCTGGAGCACAGTAGTATGATAATAGCCTTGAACTCCTGGGCTCAGTGATCCTCTTTCCTTAGCCTCCCAAGTATAGGGGGGACTACATGTGCGGCTGTGCCCAGTTACTTTTTATTTATTTATATTTTTTAGAGATGGGCGTCTTGGTTATGTTGTTCAGGTTGGTCTTGAACTCCTGGCCTCAAACAATCCTGCCTCAGGCTCCTGAGTCACTGGGCTTACAGGCATAAGCTACTGTGCCCAGCTAAATCATTTTAGTTAATATGACTTACAACACTCAATCATGATTTGTTGCAGTTAGTTTGCATATCTGTTTGCTTTGTTCTAAATTGCTAGCTCATAGATGTAAGGTCTATAATTTATTTATTTTTGTGTCCTCCATTACCTGGCCAGTACCTAGTACATACCAGGAAGGTAAATAAATGTTTTTGATTGAATATAAGAATACATTTTGTAAAGTCTCCTAATTATCAGATATTTATGTTATTTCTTGTATTATGGAATTAGAAATAATGCTGATTGGAATATCTTCGTAGGAAAGGGACCTAAACTTTTCTTATCTGTCAGATAAAATTCTACGAGATATCTCCCTCTCTCTCTTTATATATATATATATATATATGTATAAATACCCATCACTTCTTGTAAAAACTTTGTGCATTAACTAGTACTGTACCTATTTTAGAAATAGTTAATGTTCTGAGAACTTGCCCAAAGTCACATAGTTAGTAAGTAGTGGCACTGAGATTAGAATCCAGGACTTTCAGATTGTAAAACCCATTCAAGACCTTTCCTCTATGTCAGTGGTTCTCATAATGTTTGAGTGCATCAGAATAACTTAGAGCATATGTTAAAATAGTTAGTGAGCCCCACTCCTAGAACTTCAGATTCTAGGTTGGGCCTGACAATTTGCATTTCTAATAAGTTTCTAATTGATACTTATGCTGCTACCTAAGAGAACACACTTTGATAAGTGCTTTTCTATATCAAATCTGTATTTTGTTTTTAAATAATGCACTCTAAGCTATATAAACCTGGAAAAATAAACCCAAAGAAAGACGATTTATGTTTTTTAGGCATTTTTTATAGTTCAGTCTGATTAGAGTACAATTGGTAATAATTGAATAGGATTAGATAGTTATATCCAAAAGATTTCACTTAAGAATCTTAGACAAGCAAATGTATCTTGTTCTTAAATGTCTCTGGAAGGAAAACATTGTTTTGTAAAATAGTGTTGCAAAGTCAACAGAAGTCCTCTTATAAGACTAAATAAAACATTTTAACCTGACTGTATATTTCAGTCTTGACATTTATTGATAACTGCTTTATAGAATTTTAAAATAAACACCACAAATGTTTTATTGTGGTTTTGTGCAATAATAGCTATCCCTATGTATGTTTTTATAATTAATTAAGCATGATAATACAATTTTAAATATTTAAACAGATCTTTATGTTCTCATTTTACTCAGATGCCTAGAGTTCTTATTTATGTCACAAGATTTGCATTTCTGTATTGAATGATTTTTCTATAAAATAAAGCAAATTATTCATAGAATGTCAATTTTAGATTGAGAGAGATTTGAGGAACTAAATCTTAGATGTTTTCCTCCAATGCCTTGTATATCTTATTTATTCAAAAAACACTGACATTTGTAGTATTATACAATTTTAGGTTATTAAAAAGATGTGGTATTATTATTTTTTCTTTTTTTTAGAGCAGTTTTGTTTATTTATTTATTAGTTTGAGACAGAGTCTCACTCTGTTGCCTGGGCTAGAGTGCCATGACATCAGCCTAGCTCACAGCAACCTAGGACACCTGGGCTCAAGCCATCCTCCTACCTCAGCCTCCGGAGTAGCTGGGACTATAGGCATATGCCACCACGCCTGGCTAATTTTTTTCTAATTTTAGTAGAGACGGGATCTAACTCTTTTCTCAGGCTGTTCTCTAACTCTTGAGCTCAAACGATCCTCCTTCCTTGGCCTCCCAGAGTGCTAGGATACAGGCATGAGCCACCATGCCTGGCCAGATGTATTATCTTAAATACTATAGTCATTATAATTTTAGGAAGTTTTTTTTCCCCTTTATAACTTGGTCATATGTGTAAAACTTTGTGGAGTGAGCCTTACGATAGAAGTTGGCTACCAAATTTAGGATATGGTATTCATAGAAAGTGATCACTATAGTAATTTAGATTTTGTTTTTATTATATATGCATATTTTTACTATTAGAATATAAAACTAAAATATGAATTTAGTGTTTTAAAAATGTTTCTTGACTTTTGAATTAAAAAGTCACTAGGGTTGCCAAATTAGGTGTTTCTCAGCAGTTTCCTGTTAAGTGATTATTTGCAGAAAGAAATTGAGAAAGTTATAATGTAGTAAATAAAGTTTTTTATGAAAGCAGCAAGGGAAAAAGTATTAAAAATCAGGTTGAATAATAATTGCTAGAGTCTTGGTGGTTAGAAAAAGTTTGTTTTGTTGGTGATAGTGTTCTGTTTTGTTTCATTTAGGAGCTTATATAAAAGGAATATGTAATTTGGAAAATAATTTTTTAGTCAAATTTAAACAAATTATCATAAATGCTCATTATAGTGAAACAATTAAAAGGACTGACCTCCTTATTTTACAGTTGAATCTGAGCCCAAAGAAAATAAGGAACTTGCTAGGAATTAGTAGAGCTAAAGATTTTAAACTCTTATTTCCATAATGTTATGCTTCCATATGAGGTAAATAAATGGCAAAATTGTTTCTTTTGTGGTTTTTTTTTTTTTGCTTCTAAATGTGATAACAGTTTAATATTTTTATATACTAAAAGTGTTTTTTAACATTTTATAGGAAAACTATGGATTTGATAAGATTGAGGTGCGAGATAATGGTGAGGGTATCAAGGCTGTTGATGCACCTGTGATGGCAATGAAATACTACACCTCAAAAATAAGTAGCCATGAAGACCTTGAAAACTTGACGACTTACGGTTTTCGTGGAGAAGCCTTGGGATCAATTTGTTGTGTAGCTGAGGTAAGGTAATTTATATTGGTTATAGTAGTGATTTCATAATCACAAAATATTAGAATTAAGAGAAATAGTTCAGTATTTGGTGAAGTATGTTTTTAAATTTTTTTATTGTAGTAAAACATGCATAACATAAAATTTACTGTTTTAACCATATGTATTTATTTTGGTTTTGCTTTTTGAGATGGTCTTGCTGTTACTCAGGCTAGAGTGCAATGGCATGATCATAGCTCACTGCAGCCTTGAACTCCTGGGCTCAAGTCATCCTCCTGCTTCAGCCTCCCAAGTAGGTAGGAATACTGGTGAGCACCCACCATGCCCAGCTATTTTAATTTTTTGTGGAGATGGGTCTTGCTATGTTACCCAGGCTGATCTCAAACTCCTGGCCTCAGTAATCCTCCTGCCATGGCCTCCCAAAGTGTCGGAATTACAGGCATGAGCCAGCACACCTGGCCCATTTTAACCATTTTTAAGTGTACAATTCAGTGGCAATGGCATTAAGTACATCACATTTTCATGCATCCATCACCATTATCAATCTCCAGAACTTTTTCAATATCCCAAACTGCAACTATGTACCCACTAAACACTAAATTTCCATTCCCTTTGCCCCTATCCCCCAGTAACCACTGTTCTACTTTGTCTCCATGAATTTGACTATTGTAACTACCTTATATAAGTGAAATAATACAATATTTTTTTGTGTCTGTCCTATTTCATTTAGCATACCGTCTACAAAGTTCATCCATGTCGTACCATGTGTAAGAATTTCCTTTTTAAGGCTGAATAATATTTCATTGTATATACCACATTTTATTTATGCTTTCATCCATCGATGGACACTTGGGTTGCTTGTACCTTTTGGCTATTGTGAATAATGTTGCCGTGAGCATTGGTGTACAAATATCTGTTTGAGTCCCCACTTTCAATTCTTTTGGTTATATACCCAGAAGTGGACTTGCTGTGTCATATGGCAATGCTATATTTAATTTTTTGAAGGGCAGCAAAGTGTGTTTTGCGTTGTTAATATTTATTAGAGGAACAGGTGGTTTAGTGGCCCATTGGCTTGGAAAAACTATAGCAAAAAAACTGAACAGATATGTAACTATAGCGCTTCTTAAAGCCTTTACTAAAGCACGTGGTAAATCTCAAGGTTGGTGATTTATAGTAGGTATATTTCCCTGTACCTACTTGACTATGAAACACTTGTATTGAGAAGCATATCACTGTTTTTTTTTTTTTTTATTTGTTCTGTGGAACACACTTTGGAAATACCACACTAGTCAATACAGATAATGAAATTATGCTCTAGAAATGTGAATTGACTTGGTTTAAACCCTAGCTAGTTAGGGGCAGATTGGGTCCAAGAAATTTACTCTTCTAACTGCTGGTTAGGTACTTTCAATGTCTATAAACCCATGAGTTTGGTGCCTGGCACACTCAATTGCATAGTACCAATTATACTACACTGCCTCTGTCCCAGATTTTATAACTAGTTTGTGGCAAAGCCCATCTAGAACCTTGATCTCTTCATTTACATGTATGCCAGTTGTGTTTGATTACACGATTCTATACTAGTTTCTTTGTGCTATGCTATTACTCTGTGGGTGTTGGACTCTTTTATTGTTTAATGGTATCTGTGTGCCAATGAATGACAGGGTGATCGTGAGGGTCTCTTTAGCTATTGAGGTTTGCCCAGTGGCCATATGTAATCCTTTATTTGTGCTTAGGCTGGCAGACCCTATTTAGGTGAGAATGTTCAGGTGCAGTAAAGTGGTAGGACTTCATACCTATTGTCCAGGAAAAATGGCATGGACCTGAGATATTGTTACTATCTCTTTTTCTGGTCTTTGGACATTGGTTTGGTAGCCTGGTCTCCCCATCAGTGATGTATTCTCCAGGCTCATTGTGGTCTTCCCTCAGCACTTCTGTCTTTGAAGTGCTGGCACAGCATATGTTTTTTCCATTTTTTGAAGATAGGGTCTCAGGTCCACATGCTCCTTGACTTACAATGGGGTTAAATCCCAATAAACCCATTGTAAATTGAAAATGCATTTAATACACTGACCTGCCAAACCTCATAGCTTAGCCTAGCCTACTTTAAACATGCTTGGAACACTTCCATTAGCCTACAGTTGGACAAAATCATTTGGCAACTCTGTAGAGTATCAGTTGTTTACCCTGGTGATGGTGTGGCCAACTGGGAGCTGTGGCTCGCTTCCACTGCCCAACATTGCAGAAGTATCCTACTGCTTCCTATTGAATGCATTTTGCTTTCACACCATTGTAAAGTCAAAAAATCGTAAGTTGAACTCTTGTAAATTGGGGACCATCTGTATTCACCTACTCTTTTACTTTGGGGCTCTGTAGGTGATGTCCTGTGTAGGCCAGAAAAATTGTGGGGGTGATGTTTAAGTGGGAGGTTTTTGCTGTCGGAACATAGGGGACTAGGGGCTCTTGCTTGTTAGAATCTGTACGCTCAGATACCATTGAAGGAGAATCATTAAGTGCACTCTTAAAACCTCTATCCATAATCTAGCACACCATGTGCTTCTCTGTCTTACTCACTTGTTTTATTAAGAGTTCACTGAGCCTCCAGATAGATTTTGGGGAAGAGTGACCAGAGATACAACTGGACATTGCCTATTTTCTGCCCAGAGACTGTATATAGGAAGCTATAGCCCTGGATCTGTTTTTAAAATGTAATGGAGTTTTCAGTAGGGAACCTCTGAACCTCCCAGTGCTGGTACTGTTGTTAGAGTTCTCAGTGGCTATTTTGGAAGTTATATTTTTTGTTGTAGAACTTAAGTATTTGATATTTTCTTTAGCTGTTGGCAAATAGTCTTTAAGCTTTGTTTGGTAGAGTATTGTAAGAAAAGATATAATTGGACATTTCTGTATTTTCTACAAGATGTTTATAACCTTTCAGAGCTGAAGTTCATAATCAGCTTTGTCTGCTAGGTGGCAGCACTATACTTAGTCTTTATAAATATGTTATACATGAACCGTATGATTTATCCAAATCTTCATTACAGTTCTGATTCTAGACGGCAGTTTTGCAAATCTTTGTCCATTGGTCACTCTATCTTGTTTCTTTATTTGATTACTTAAACCCACTTAATAGGCAAGTTTATAATTTTGTCTTTTATTTTTGAGGCATTCAAATGGCCTGGAGTATAAATAGTTAAAATAATTTTGCTCATCAAAATTACAAAAGAATTACCAAAGTATCACAATAATGGAAAACTATAAGCTTAAAAATATTATGTTTGCAATTTACACATTGCAATGCCAAGCGTTTTTTTATCTTAGAAAATATTAACGGACTACTTTATTGAATCCCCATTCTTGTAAATCTTTGGGAATCTTTGGAAAACCAAACACACACAGAGCACAATGAATTTGTACACATACATATACCCCAGATCAAAATACAGACCATTATCAGCACCCCAGAAAGTTCTCTCATACCCCCCCAGTCAGTGCTCCTCAAAAGTAACTGCTATTCTGACCTCTAGCAACGTAGATTAGTCCTACGTGTTCTTGAACTTGATATAAATAGAATTCTGCAGCATGTATTATTTTGTCACAGTTTTTGAGGATAATTTAGGCTTGATTGTACCTGAAAGCTAAAGGAAACATAGAACTGGAAGGGATTGTGGTGATAGTAGTGGACCCTGGTGTATCGCCCAGATCCCTCCTTCAGGACTGAACACTTGTCCCCCATCTTCCGAGAGTGTTGGTGGCTGAATGCTCACAGCTGAATCTTCCCCGGAGATTGCCCTTACCTCAGCTGAAGAGAGTTCCCTTACCCAGGTCATGCAGGGCAGCCTGCATCCAGTAACTGGTTGATGAGGGTTGTAAAGGCCCAGTTCAGGGCAAGGCTTCCCTGTCTCCACAGGTGATCATCCCAATGTTACTCATCAATAAACTTCTTGTTTACTAATCTTCGACTTGGAGTCTGCTTCACTGGTAAGCCAACCTCTACATTGCAGGTCTTCTATGGTTCAATCTCTTCATATTACTGATGAGGAAAACTGGGGTCTTGTGAAGCCAAATGCTAGGTCTTCTTACCCCAACTTCAAAACACAGTCTTTAATAAGTAATCAACTAATACTTCATTGTCTCGTCTAGTCTGGGTGCTGTGCTAGGTAGGCTATTTCAGAGGAACTGTGCACAGTGAAGTAAATGGAATATGAAAGTTGTGACCTATTCAGGAATGCAGTTTGTCCAAGGCAAAGCCCAGAATTCAGTTTGAATTTCATGCCTTTCAGTACTGAGTTCTCCCCAGTAGGCTATATTGCCTTCTTACTAGCATAGTTAGAAATGTATTTTTAAGTTTAAAAATACTTCCATATTAAAATAGTAAATATACTCAGGACTGCAGTGGTAAGCTCAATAGATAAATTGTTAGGAATAGTCAAATTAAAACTTATATGGGAGGATTGTGAATAGTATTTCAGAAAAACAAAGTAATATATGTTTGTTAAAGTCAGTTACATTTAAAAGTAAATGTTCATTAAGGCTTAATGAGTGCTTTTTGGGGAAAAATCACTTTTTTAAACTTGAATATTCTTCAGCACTCAGAAAGAATTGAGGTTACATATCTAGAAGTTCCTTATTTATTTTCAAGGCTTTGGTTTATTTTGAAATTTTTGGATAGGGATTTACAGTTACATAATAAAAATTAGTGATTTATTTTCTCTATCAAACTGATGCAGATAATTTTAAAAGTCATACTGTTGTAAACCATACAAGGCTCAACAGCTTGATAATATGTAGTTGGGAATTAATTAGTTTTGTTGCACTATCAAACAGCCATCACCCAAAATTCCAATTTTCAACATTTCATTAGGTTATTTTAAAGATTTTAATAATTTTAGTTAGAAAAAATTAAGCTAGACTTTCAGCAAAATTGGCAGGAGGAATCTAAAATACATCTAATTCTGTATTCTTTATTCATATACTGGAAAAAAATGGGCAGGTTTTCTGATTTATCAATTATAAAATAACTTTCAACCTTAAACAGCCCAAAGGAGTAAAGCATTCTTTTTATATATACAGAGTAAACTATTGATATTTAAAATAAAATTACTGCTTTCATAATCTACGATGAATGTAAGTAGATCAGTGACTAACACAAATTGGTAATGGTTTTCTTTAAAATCATATCAGCAAGCGTCACTTCTCTTAACATTTATTGCCTGTAGAGCAATAATTTTGAATTATTGTCATCTTCAGTGTTAAATTACTGGTATTGTTAAATTACAGCTTTACTAAGCACAATGACTAGAATGAACTAGAGATAGTGAAAATTCTGCTTTTGACCTGTTCATAAAAATTTTTATAAAGACTACTTGTATATATTTTTCCTATCACATAATAAGATGTATATGATAAAAGATCTTATTCCTTTTTAGGTTGATATTTTTTATATGTGTTATAAATGGTCTTTTTCATGCACAAGAACTGTTTAAGAAACTCATTTAAGCTTTTTGAGCTGAATTTTAAATGGAGGCTAAATTACACCTTGGTTTTAGGAGAAATACAGAACAATTTTGTCCTTTTAAACTCAAAACAAACTCTGAGCTAGGAATCAGAAGTCTAATTCTAAATCACAAGTGTTTGAATAGGAGACCTAGCCTGAGGAGTAAAACAGGTTAACTTTTCTGAGAGTCATTTTTTTTTTTAAATCTATAACATGAGAATAATGATTTGAGGATCAAGTAAAATAATACATGTTAAAGTATCTTAAATATTGTCTTGTGCCATACAGATGAAAGTTATTTCTACTTTAGACTTAAATGAATGTGAAAAGGTAGTATTCAGCTGTATCACATGTGATGAAATTATCACACTTGCTTGTTCCCTTCTACAGGCAGTATTTCACATCAACATCCAAAGTTCATGCAGATTCCTCCACATTTTTGGGAAATCCTTTGTAAAATTTAACAGAGATTCATAGGTAAATTCCTAATTCGCACCAAAGGTCTTCATTCTGTATCATAAGTTCATTTTTTTCCTCAGAAGAATTAGAAGAGTTTGCCAGCCTTCCTTTTCATAGCATTCATATTTATTGATTCATTCATTTAACATTTTTTAAGTGGTCACAGTGTGCTGGGTATTATTTTGACCTATCACATACAGTTGACCCTTGAACAGCGTCAGAGTAAGGGGTACAGACCCCCAATGCAGTAAAAAATCTGCATGTAACTTGATTCCCTAAAAACTTAACTACTAATAGCCTACTGTTGACCAGAAGCCTTACAGCTAACAATTAACATGTTTTGTATGTTATATACTGTATTACTGCAATAAAAATAAGTTAAATAAAAGAAAATATTATTAAGAAAATCGTAAGGAAGAGAAAGTATATTTGGTATTCATTAAGTGGCAGCGGATCATCATAAAAGTGTTCATCCTTGTTTTCACATTAAGTAGACTGTGGAAGAGGAGGGGTTGGTCTTGCTGTCTCAGAGGTGGCACAGGCGGAAAAAAATTCCATGTATAAGTGGACCCATGCAATTTAGCCCTCCTGTTGTTCAAGGGTTAGCTATACGCAATTTTGTGATGAGATAATACAGGATCTATAGATTTGTTTTTGTTTTACGTCACAGTAAGTCTCCATGGCTTAGAGGAGCAGAATAAGAAGCTAAGTCATTCTGTTTTGAAGGTGAAAGTTGGAACTCTGTTATTTGTGGGCCCACATATCTATAAAAAGGTCAGGAGAAGCTCTTAAGCATCATTCTGATAGTTCTAAGCCAAGTAAATGATTCCTGACACCTTTTCCACAGTGTAGGTTACTTTCTATATCCTTTATAGCCATGGTGGTAGAGCTTTAGTTAGAATAGGCTCAGAAATTTTTTAAGCACTTAGAATATTTGGTTCCTAAATACAGCTTCCTCATAGGTTAATAGAACTCCGTTGAAAGTAGAAAAGCCAGAGCCAAGACCTCCCTGTTGCTAGTCTTCCCATAGTAGGTATCTGAGCATGTTCTAAAGTCAGTACCTTAGTGTACAGCTGCGCACAGGCAGGCATAACACAGAAAGAAAAAGAAATTTCAGTCATCCAAGCAAAAGTGCATATTTCACTTGAGTCATAAAGAACATTTATCTTAATTTTCAGACTCAGGTTTTCTGTGCCAAAATGTTCATCCAAAAGTCAGCTAAAAAAACCAAAAGGCTTTGTGATAATTACCTGGTATCTAAACGTTGAAGAAAAACTGTGTTTACCTAAAGTTTAAATGTTTTTATGTAATTTTTATTTTATAATAATACTATAATTTCTTGAAACTCAGTAACTGGACTAGAGTCAGTTTTTAATAACTGATAGCTAATAACCTCTAAGGCCCTCTAAGAACTTCTAAAACTTCTCCGTTTAAAATAGTGGGGTTTTTTCCTTCTCTTGACACCACTAGATTCACTCATTGCTATGATTCCTCAATGTCTGTAGTAAGAACCACCACTAACAGTTTGTAATATCAGAGATGCTCCTGATGGTGGAGTTATTGCTGGTTTAAATGCTAGCTGCTGCACAGCTAACGCCTTCTGAACCTGTGCCTGGTCCAAAAAAAGGTTTCCTGCCTAGGACACAGGGTCATATGATGAAATGAACTCTTGAAATACAATTCCTTTCCTTCCTCTGAGGAACACATTGTATTTCATGAATTTGTGAAATATGCTTATGTGCTTGTTTTATCCTTCACTGTCTTTAGCTGTGAATTGCAAAACATTTCCTATCTAAATAAATTTTCATAGTACCCTACAAATTGTAATTAAAAAAAATTTTTAGTATTGAAAAATAATACTGTTCTATTTTTTTTTTTACTTTACCATAAATGTTACATTATGAACACTAAAGTCCTATTTTACTTTTAAGCTCTTCAGTGAATAACAAACATATTCACTAATATGTTTAAAGAATGATCAAGTTAATATCTTATAAAATGCTCTGAAGTGGTTAAAGCAAAATCCCATGTAACCTTATAAAGTATGAGCATCATCTTCATCTCATCATCACTCTCCTCTTAAAGACGATAGTGTAATCATTTATTCAGGACCATCTAGAAGCTACTGGTAAAGTTAGTACTGGAACTCAGAGTTCCAGGGCTGTCTTTGCTCAGTGAGACCAACTTTAGGTCAGGTTGCTAGCTCTTTGGAGAATAGAAATAGAATTCAATTGACCTTGGCATTTTGGAGAAGCAATTGGTTAAAAGTAGAATTATTTTTAAAGGTACAGTCATGGAGTGATTAAACACAGGAAAGAAAATCTTTAGCAATTTCTGCCCTGTAATATAAAGCTCTGAACCATGAAATGTATTTTGGAAGAAGGAGAGTAATCACTGAATAGTACACAGAAACTCACAACTTGTCTTTTTTAGGTACTTTTTTGGTGGGGGATAGTTACCACAGAAATAGCTTGATATGATAACCCTAGTAAGGGTTTTGTGGACTTCATTCTCAAAATCTAGCAGATTCTACCAGTATTGTGAGGTAGAGAAGCCATTTTTTTTTTTTTGTGGTGGCTCTGATATTACCTGCATGATACCCACTTGCTCCACAGAGCCCTGTGGCCTACAATAAATCTGCTTGGTTAGGGCAGGGTGACAGAACCATCAAATGTAAACCCAACTGGCCCCAGAAGAGTTCCAGCTCCTGAGTAGAAGGATGGCCAAGAAAGATTACTGTCATTTTTGGGTCATCATTGATCACCAGATATGTGAGGAGGCTATCTTCTTCCCAGTTCACCTTGTTTTCCTTGCCAGCATCCCCATTCCTCACTTTTGGGTTTTTTCCTAACAAAGGTATATTTTATTATTGTTACACTTTCTGACTAATCTCATGAGGTAGGTAAATAGAAAGCTAAGGATGAGCATTACTCAGAAGAATGCAGACACTTTAAAATTTTATTTCTATGACTAACATCTGAAGAAGTATTTGCATGCTGAATGAAATCCCTTCTTATGCTTACACATTTTAATGCTGAAGTTTTTTAATTAATAAAAATTTTACACTTAAACGATGAGTTGAAAGCCTGGTTTTAAGAAAAAATTGTTCATAAATGTACATATGTATAATTTAAATTTTATTTTTTTGACCCGTAAATTTGAAATACAGAACGGCAGTTTTTACACAGAATATAAAAAGGGGAGGAAATGATCACTTTACCAAAGGATTATTCATTTACCATCAAAGTTATGGAAACAGTCTGTTAAAAAGCAAGCTCCCCTAATGCAGTTGAAGTATTTGCTTTTACAGATATGTCATATGATACATATCTAATACATATTGCCATTTCAGGTATACTGGTTTGTGTATGAGTGTTTTAATTAAAATGCTTGAAATAAAAAGCAGTAATTTGAAACAGGAAAAATACAAGCTAGCCTATTGCTTATTAGTATAACTAAGAAAAATTACAAAAGAAGTAGATACAAGAATTTATCAAGTAAAACTTTTTACAATATTAACTAAATATATTATGTGATAATTACTTTAAATCTAATTCAATAATGAACCCATGCAATATCTAAAATGATAATTTTATTAGAGGTTTTTTTTTTTTTCCTCCAGGTTTTAATTACAACAAGGACGGCTGCTGATAATTTTAGCACCCAGTATGTTTTAGATGGCAGTGGTCACATACTTTCTCAAAAACCTTCACATCTTGGTCAAGGTAAGAGAGTAGCTTTGTAGCCTTCTTTGTCTTTTGTCTTATTTGTTTTAAAAAAGTGTTACTGCTCAAATTTAAATGTATTGCTTTGCGCTTGATCCTGATAAAGACTAATTAAATTCCAAGTGAGCATTCAGCCTTTACTTTAATCAGCAGTCTCTTAAATATTTATAGAATTCTCAAAAGGAACTGTGAGAGACTGCGGACAACTCAATGAACTAGTTGCTCTTCTGTAAAAACGGTAAGAGCATTCATTTTACTTGTACTTCATCACCAGTATCTTCACATATGGAGTATAATATTTTATTGAAACACCTAAAACATCATTGATTTGGTAACAATGGTGATAAACTATATCATAAAGATATTAATATTATGGTTAAATAATTAACCAATAATTAAATATATTTATGGAAAACTTCAAACATATGTACAAGTATATAGAATAATGTACTCTTCACTCAACTTTCAGCAAGTATCAACTCATTGCTAAAAAGTTCTTTCTCTAATACCCTTACCTCTTTCCTCCCTTTCTGTATTATTTTGAAGCAAATAAATATATTAATTATTATTGCTGCTTATTAGTTAATGGTGTTTTATATTCTTTTATGTAATTTTATTACATTTTAATTGGTATCTTATGTTTTTAATTTTTTTCTAAAAACTACTTCTGTAGGGAAAAAATATCTCTTTAGGCTTGAATTTCACATATCTCCTTTAATCTTTTTCACACTACTAGTTTGTGATAATAGGATGATTAAGAGAATATTAAAGGTGTGGTCTCTTTAAAATCATGTTCAAGAGAATTATTAGATCTCAAAAAGGACTTTTTTGGGTTTTTTGTTTAGCCTTCTCTTCCTCCAGTTTGTATCGTAAATCCATGTTTGATTTTTTGATCCCTCATTGTAATTTATCGAAGTACATGCCGTATATTTTCTGTGGTTTCTTCCTTCCAGGTTTAGTGTTACTGGATTTTTTTCCAAATGACTTCTGTCTTCATTGAAATTATTTTCTGGTATCTTAATACTGATACCAAATTCTCTCACTCTTTTTCTTATTCTATAAATCCTTAGCTCTGTTACTGATTACTTTTGCTCATTTGGGATTAATATTTTTGTATCCACCTAGGGGAAAGAGTTAATAGAAACTCCTAAGAAAACACACTGTATTTTTTCATTTGTTTAGTTAATGAAAATGAGTTTAAGTCTAACAGCTATTTAATTTGATGTATGATAATAAAAATTGTACATATTTTAATTAAAAATAGTAGATTGTAATTTTTTTTACTATGTATTGAAGGTTAGGACAAACCCTCTCCAGAAATACTCTGAGCTCAGTTCTTAGGAATTCAAATTAGGAAACCATTAGGAGGTATTTGAGTAGCTCTCCAGTAGAGTACTTTGAAGTAATCTAGTCGCCTTATAAAACTTAAAAGTATTTATTTTTATCTTAGTAGTAACCAGTCTAATCTGGATGGCCAGTGGCTCTGCATCACTCATACTTCTCATGCTTTTCTTTGTTCATCTCCATGGGAACTATGAAATAACAATCCTGAGATATGGAATCCATCTGATCTTTGCCCTTTCGCTGGTTGATTTTTCTTTTCCTGCTGACCTCAGCCTTCTACCTTTAGGAAGTGAGAACAGGTATGCATATTAAAGAATTTCTATAGTCAATGAATAAACCTTATTTCTTTAGCATATTCCTTTTAAGAAGCAACATACTTAGGAGATTAGTAGTTATAAAACTAGTAATTAACCTTTCATAACTCACTTGTTTCATCTAATTACTGTTGATTGGTTAGGAAAACAAAAAATTAAAGTCTTAATTTTAAATTGCTCTAGATGGACATATTATAGAAATCTATAAACACTTGCAAAAGGCTTTTACGTTTATATTGCTTTAGTGTTGATAGTTTTTGAGTGATTGAATCACAGACTCACATTTCACCAGCTGTCATTCAGCTTCCATTTAAATATTTTCTGTGTAAGATAAAACTACAGTTCAACCATCCTAATTTATACCTGTACATTTAGGGTTCTTGGATTAATTTCTGCTGTGGTGTGAACATCCTTGCTTTGCAGTTCCTCTTAATATCTGATAGGATGTCACCTATAGATAGCATAATTGTAAGTGTAGAAACAGCTTACAACAAAAGTTTATTTAGGCATTGGAAAATGTGTTGCCCATTTAAAAAACATTTTAAAGTGTTTAAAAAGTTTACTGGAAATTCCAGTTTTGGTTTTTCTAGGTGTAGGTTTTTTTTAGTGGATTAATTTAGACATTTAAAATAATTTATGTGTTTAACAGTATGTTATTTTAAATTGCCCTTACCTTCTGTTCACTTCCATTTTAAAACATTTTTTGAAACTAAAAAGAAATAAGCTTCCAGCTTTTAAATTCTTTTACCAAGAACACTGACTAAATTGTTTGCTTTTGTCATATCTTTTTCTGTTGTCACTTCTCTTTACCCAAGATAATAAGTATTAAGTTTTCTAAATTGATTTACCCTCCTGGACAAATCCTTTTAATGCCTCCTGGTACTTCTGACTTCGAAATTTCTCAGATATCAAAAGTAGTATGTTTAAATTGCTCTGATCAAGGTATTTCCTTTCCCTACTCTGTTATTAGAGTAAAGCATCATGTTCTTTGTAAATTCCTGCTATGTGTGATCATGCATGTATTAAAAGACCTTTTCATCTTAATTTAAGAATGGAGCTTTTATTCATTAAATAGTTTAAGAAAACTTTCTGATATAGTCAAGGAACCATACCTTTATGTTAGGCGTATAAATAGCTGTCTTTATAAATGGCATAACATAGCGTCATGTAAAAATATAACACGGAGCATATCACAAGACTACCTTTTCATTCTGGTGTTTGTAGAATGTGCTAAAGTTAGAGAGCTGAGTGCTTGTCTTGTAAAATATGATAGTATAATGGGGCCTCTTCCCTATTAGCTAATATTATGTGGTACTTTTATTTTTAAGGATACATATTTCATTTGGAATCAGAAAAGTCTTTTCCACCACTTTTTATTCAAACATGTAATTCTCATCTTATTAATAATTCCCAATTTACTTTGAGAGAATAGTTTTAGGTGCCAAAGCAATAATTTATCAATATGTAGATTAGATAAGAGTATGGTCTTTGATACATAACATATATTTAAAAATCAAGAGATTCCTCTTTTTACTTTCATATACACATTTGTATTTTTCCCTCTTCATTTTTGCCTTCTGTCTGTCCATAGCTATAGTGGATGCCATTATATTTGTCATCTAGGAACTCAGTAGTGGGGAACACAGATTGAGTAAATAAATAATGACAATAAAATGAAGCCACCAACTGCCTAGAGAGAGGTTAACAAGTTTTTCAGAAAAGATGACATTTGAGTTTGAAGATGGTAGGAGTGTGGAGATGCTAGATAAGAAGGAATGAGTATAACCTTTCAGCAAGAAAAGAATGATGGATATAGAAGATTTCAAGAGACCATTGCATAATTTTAAAAAGTTGTATTTTTCTGTAAACTCACTGAAGAACTGTGTCACAGAGAAGTTGAAATGAACTAAATTCAGGAGAGACTACCCCTTCCTAGAAAAGAAGTGACTGGTGGCCACTTGCATTCCTGGGAGCATTAACTCAGTCTGGAGGCATTGGTGGACAAAGGAGCAGGCCTGCTATAGATAAGAGATCTTTTAGGACAGTAGAAGAAACCAGCTGAACTTCTAATAGCCACACATGGCCTGACATGACAGATTGGAATATGGGATCCTCAAACAGACCTAGTCTGCTCCACCCACTGAATCACATCAGGACTTTTGCTGAGTAAGCAGTGATGAAGGAAGTTTGGACTGAGCTAGAGAAAAAAAGATGCTAAGGCCTTGCTAGAAGAAGAGGTCTGATTCCATCCTCAAGACATTTTTGAAACTAGAGGTGAACTGGAACTAAAGGGGAAACTCAGCCACAACTCAGATAAGCTCCTAATTAGGTTGAAAAGGTCTGTTCTTTATTCTGGCTGCTTAACAGGAAACAAAGCACTTTCTCTAGGAAAAAATATTATCTTCTTCAGTATCTATTTTTCTTTTATACACAATGTCTGGCAAAAACAAAAATTTGGAGAGACACGAAGAAAGGAAAATGGGATCTATAATCAGAAAAAATAGTGGAAGCAAACTCAAAGATAACCCAGATGTTTGACTTAACAGATGAAAACTTTAAAAACAATGATGTTAAAGAATTTAGAAGGAAAAGTGGTCAAAATCAGTGTGAAGCTGGAAAATTTCAGCAGAGAAATGGAAACTAAAGAGCTGATTGCAAATTGTAGAACAAAAAAAGTACTGTATCTAAAGCATTCGTTGGATGGGCTTAACAGCAGACTGGACATAGCAGAAGAAAAGATTTGTTAATTTGAAGGCAGTCAATAGAAATGATGTAAACTGAAGCACGGAGAGAAAATAGAATGAAAAAAAGAGAAGAGAGCATCAGAGATCTGTGAGACAACATTAAACAGTCTAACATACATGTGACTGGAATCCCAGGAAGACAGGAAAGAGAGAGACTGGAGCACAACAATAAATCTGAAAAGGGAATTTTCCAAAATTGTCGAAAGACATAAAGCCATAGACTCGAGGAGCAGAATGAACCCCAGGTGAAATAAATACAAACAGAACCACGGGTAAGCACATCATCATCAAATTACTGAAAACCAGAGAAAATACTGAAGCAGTAAGAGGAAAAAATATATTGAATTTAGGAGAACAACAAGAATGATGGCTGACTTCTCATAAGAAACATATTATAGAAGCCCAAAGAAAATGGAATGATATCTTTTAAGCATTTAAAAAAAAAAGGCCGGGCGTGGTGGCTCACCCCTGTAATCCTAGCACTCTGGGAGGCCGAGGTGGGCCGATTGTTTGAGCTCAGGAGTTTGAAACCAGCCTGAGCAAGAGCGAGACCCCGTCTCTACTAAAAA